AGATTTGGACGTTAGTGCGATGAGGGGGGGTGGGAGGAAGGAGGAGTGGTTGTCTCTGGTGGATGGCGGGAAGGGGAAGATCCGAGTGGTCGTGGAGGTGAAGGAAGAGGGGGGGAAAGGGGCTACCGGTAGTAACGATTCCGATTTAGCCTCTCCTGCTGCTGCTACTGCTGCTGCTGCTGCTGGTGGTTATGGGACTTCTGCTGCAGTGGGTGGTCGTGCCGTGGAACAATCAGTCTCAAGTGGATCCACGTCCAGTTTGGATTCTCATCCCGTGTCTCCTGCCCGCTCAGACGACCCTGCTGCTGGTGCTGCGGCCACCACAGGTACATTACTCCCTCCTCAAAAAGTCAAGTCTATGCTGTTGGGACTGCTGCTGCTGTGGGTGGTGGTGCTGGGGAACAATCACTTTCAAGTGGATCCACGTCCAGTTTGGATTCTCATCCCGTGCCCGCTCAGATGACCCCGCTGCTGGTGCTGCGGCCACCACAGGTACAGCACTCCATAAAAAATATCTCCGATACACTTCCTCCTATCATTGTTTTCTTTAGGCATCTATTTTTTTTGAAATTCCTGCGTCCTGACTTTTGCATCGCCACCTTTTCTTTCTCTCGTTGAACATGGCTCAACCCTTCCTCTCCCCCCTCCTCCATCCCTCCCACCCTTCTCACTCCTACAGGCCCCCCTTTTCATCGACCTCCGAGGTTTCCCCCTCCCCATCTCTCCCCACTCCCTCCTCCTCTGGCTCCAAATCCAGCTGGTTCAAAGGGCTTGGTGGCACCAGCCACGGAAGCCTTTGAGTCGACTCAAAAGTCTTCCGCTTCCCTCTCCTCCACTCCTCCCATCCCCCCCCTTCCCACAGGCGCCGCCCCCCCTCTTCGTCTACCACCGAGGTCCCCCCTCCCCATCTCTCCCCACTCCCTCCTCCTCCGGCTCCAAATCCGGCTGGTTCAAAGGCCTGGGTGGCACCAGCCGCAGCCGTGGCAGCCGCGGCAACGGCAACAGCAGCAACAGCAGCAACACCACCACCGCCACCACCACCACCGCCGCCGCCTCTCCCAAGGCTATGCTACTCGAGGGCACCAGCAGCAGCACCACCGCTCGGCCCACCACGCCCGAGGGGATCGTGCCCAGGTCTGCAAGCAGCAGCACGCCCAAGGGGGGCCCGCCTAGGTCCACCAGCGGCAGCTGGCCCTTCAAGACTCCCTCGCTCAGGCGCCTGGGGTCAGGGTCCGGTGCGGGGCTGGGCATTCCGGTGGCCACTGTTCACGTGGAGGTGATAGAGGCGGATTCTCTGGTTGCTGCAGATAAGACAGGTGAGTGCAATAGTGATGGGTGGTTGTCACGTAGATGCCAGGATTGCGACTACAGCTGGAGAGGTGGAGGACACTTGAGCATACCAGTGGCCCTTGCTCAGGTGGGGCCGCTGGCTGCAGTCCGACTGTGTGAAAGAGACACTGAACGAGACATTGAGCGCTTAATTGTGCTCGATGAGTCTATTTCTTAGGCGTCTCAAAAATCGTCGGACTGTGAAAGGGACAATGAACGCCTGGATGTGCTCGGCCCGCCTCTTGCATGGCCAAGCGTCTTCAATGTCTCTTCTGGCAATCAGAGCATAGCCAGGTGGGCGTGATATCTCTTCCACTCTGTCAGGCGTGTGTCTGTTGAATTGAGCTGAAGTTTCCAACCCATAGCTTTATCACCCTCCTCCTTCTGCTCCGTAACTCTTCTCTTCCCCCCCCCTGCACCCGCACCCTCTCTTTTCTCCTCCTCTCGGGTCCACTCTGATTTATTTCAAACAGGTACATCTGACCCTTACTTGAAAGGCTACCTGGGATCTTCCAAATTCTCCACCAAAATAATCTTCAAGACGCTCTGCCCACGATGGAACGAGAAGTTTTCGCTGCCCGTGAAGGAATGGCCCCCCACGGGCAGCCCGTTTTTGCTCAAGCTGAGAGTGTTCGACCGCGACATGCTGACTCAGCATGACCCCCTAGGGGATGCCTCCCTCGATATAATGCCATTGAGAGATGGAACAAGGCACGACCTCTGGGTGAAACTAGAGGATGTGACTACAGGGAGGGTGCATGTGGCTGTCACTGTGGAGGATCACCTGGGGGAGGCGGGGAGTGATGAGGAGGACAGCGAGTCGCTTGCAGGAAGGGAGGAGGGGGGTGATGGAGAAGCAGTTGCTCCTGCTGCTGGCCAGTTAGCACCTGTACCAGAAACGCCTGCCCAATCATCATCATGCTCATCCGAGAAGCTGGCCAGCAAGGCACCTGCTCTCACTACCATTCCATCAGGCGAACAGCTAAGTGCCATGGCCGCCTTACCTGCGGCCACTGCCTATGAGCCATCAACCCAACCCCCTGTTTCACCCTCCGATGCTGCTGCTGCTGCTGCTGCGGATGATTCTGCTGCCGCTGCTGGGGCGGAGGGGGGTGGAATGGCGCAAGGGGCGGAGAGGGACGTGCCCCAGGTGTGGGTGGCGCATGTGGAGATAATCGAAGCTCAGAATCTGATCATTGCTGACGTGTCAGGTGAGACATAAAGAGTGGTGTATGTGTCTTAGCGCTACTTTCCAATTTGTGTTTTTAAGCGCATTTCTCATTGTGCCATATCACTGCGTATAGTATTGCGAGCTTGATGAATCACTTTGAGTCATTCCGTCACGTGTTCCCCTTTTAGCAGGTTACTCGGATCCATACGCGGTTGGCAAGCTCGGCCAAGCCACATTCCAGACGAAGCACATTGCCCGCACACTCAACCCCAAATGGCACGAGGAGTTTCGGGTCCCTGTGGTAGACTGGGACCCTGACGCCACGTACCTCAGGCTTGTCGTGAAAGACTACGATACTTTCACTACAGACGATTCCATTGGAGAGGCTAAGGTAAACTTGAATGTGTTACGGGATGGGCAGCGGCACTCAGTGTGGTTACCATTACAGGGAGTGAAGAGCGGCAAGTTGCATGTGGCGGTTACACTTCTGGAGCGGAATGTGGAGTCGAATGTTGTGGTGCACGAGCTGATCCCCGGTTGTGTTATTGAGTGTTATGATGCCATGAAGCTTGTGCTCTAGATTCTACAGTAGGATTGATGTGTGTGCATTGTGGCATAGGGTTTTTAACCGAAGGAACCCATGTGGGGCTTTTAGCATTCTTGGTGGTGTAATAGGAACCCATGTTCACTATGTTAGTTTATAATCTTAAGGTATTTACCCATGTTTTGTCACATGCTTTGGAAGCTTGACATAACTATTTCTAACCAAAGCGTAGAAAGTTCTCTTCATTTCTAGTTATGTCCGTGGATAATAATGAGCGAATGCACTCCTCGCCTAGAGTCTTTGCTCTGTCATATTGACCGGCACGTGGCGGTGAATTTTGGCGACCAGTCAAACATTTTGACTTCCCCTGCCCCGACTCTTGCGGAGAGGGAATGTCGTGTGCAGGAGGCCTCACACTAAGCCCCAGGGTATCCTGGAAGAGGATAGAATCGCCTCTGGAGAACCCGTTAACAGACGGAATCCCCCTAAAAATGCCCGCTATCAAAGGGAATTGGCCACTACAAATTCGGCTTAGCAAGGAATCGAGGAGTGGGGGGGGGAAGCGGTTGGGTGGGGGGTGGGGGCTGGGAGGCGAAATCGCTACCCCCTACAGATTGCCCTACTACAAGTATAGCCCGCACAGATTCAAAAAGAAAGTTACTCGTTAGGCTAAGGAATCCCGCGAAATCGTTTCCGAAAGTTGGACGGATTCAGGAAAAATAGCCAGCACCGTAAAAAAACGTAATTGCTGGAAACGCTACGCTTAATTTCTCGAAATCAAGAACAGTTACCCTCTTAGCGAGAGCCATGGTCGTGTGTTGTATAGTTGTCACCCCTCCCAATAGCCTATCAATACGGCCAATGGGTGGGAGGCCAAAATATGTTTTCGTTTTTTTCCGCAGTCGCATGGAGTATTACACATAACCTGCGATATTTTCTATCCCCCTATTTCCCGGAGGTGCTAGTGCGAGGGTAGTCAGATCAAAAGCTATGTTCTAAGAGGCGGGCTAAGTATCCCCTGAAAAAAAAGGGACTTGGGTTACTAAGCGCAAGATGTTTAAGGTGGAACATTTCCCTGCTTTGGCGCTATCTCTTTTCGAAGTCTACGACCCACGTCAAACAAGTGGAGGCAGAGAGCCCGAGTCCGTAGATCCACGGGAAAGATACTTGTGGACCCAGAAACGGCCAGGTGACGAAGAAAATTTCCCAAACCCCGTTCCCCGCGGTGAAAATGTCGCAGGTTGGGTGTCCGTACAACCCACTGAAACAAACAACTCGCGGTGAGGAAAATGGCCGAAATTTATACTGTACGACGGATAGTAAATAAGGGCGCACTCTGCGCTCGTGTTATCCCAGCTTCCGGTCATCATTTGCCAGCATTTTGGAACTTCGGGTCTTCCAGCATGGGGCAAATCATGACCGGAATCCCGGATGACACGAGCCTGGAATACACCCTAGGTGTCGACATTTTCTGACACCGATTTTTTTTAATACACCCACATTCAGCAATTGAACATGGAATAACGGCCCTACATTCAGACTTGCCCCCAGTAATCCCCGTTCTCCTAATCCTGGGCACATGCAACAGCAATGCAGTCTGCCCTTACCCCACCATTGCTGCCACCCGCGCCAAATCTCTCCAAATGAGTCCCCCCCGGCCCCGCTTCCCACCCCATGCCTCACTTCGCCTCCTGTTTCCGCCAAGCCTTCCGCAAATCCGTTGTTCCCCTCCCGCTCTCCTTCCCCTGTGAGCCAGCCCTATCCGCTCCCACCCCTCTCTCTCCTCAGACCATTCCCCTTCTCCCCCCAACCTTCCCCTTCCGCCCGCTTCTTTCCATCACCCCGCCCCTCCTCCATACCGAAACCAACTCCTAGGTCTGTCTGCCTTTCCTTTTCCCGCCAGCCATTTTAGGGCCTGTTCTTTTCTTTCTTGGTCTATCCATGCCTGCGTTCCTCACCACACGCTTCAGGCGTCTCCCCGCTTATAGAATCCCGGCGAACCCGCAGCTCGCGCGTGCGGGCTGCCTCGAATTCTGTTCCAAGCCCCCAGGACGAATTTCGCCGCTGACTGCCAGCCAGCCTGGGATCGACTACTGTTCACATGTCGCACATGTGGAGCCGGCACTGCTGCTGCTGCTGATGGATGTCATTGTGCTTCCGATGCAGAGGCAGCTGGAAGAGAAACTCCAGCAGAGTTCGGAGAAGAACTTAGAGAATTCTTGAAGCAGCCATGGCCGTTTGTTGTGGTCCAACTCCTCTTGTCAAGCTCTTGAACCAGCCGTGCTTGACGACGAGCGAGTTACACATAACCTCCGTCGCCTGCGGAGCAAGTTACACACGACAGTCCCTTACGAGCCCTCCGTCGCGACACGTACTAGCAGTGTACACACAGCCAGTGCTCTCTCCCTGTTCCAGTTTCTACCTCTAATTAGCACGGAAGTAACTGTGCTGTAGTACAGGTGTACACAGTTGTACAGTACAGGTGTACAGTACCCGACCGTCGCGGCACTGTGCTCGTCAAGAGCCTTTCGAGTCTACTCCGAGTCGTCAAGGAGCAACCCGCTGCGGTGACCTTTTGGACGGCTCGATATCCGTTGTAGTCTGCTCTGCGAGTCGCGACAGATGAGTCACCACGCTTCCTCCAAGAAATCCCCCAAGCTCCCAGTCCCCTCTCCCCTCGCTCCGCTATCCGCCATTTCTGCCGTGCCGTGGTGATTGATGTGAACCAAGAATCGCCACCCAGTTCGTACCCAGCGTGCCTTGACTTCGAGTTCTAGGGACCCAAGAATCGCCACATCGCGGCAGTGCCGTTGGTCGTTTGCCCGTTCTTGCGAGTCGTTGCGTCGCGTCGTATCGCCGCATACTGGCCAGTGCTCACGCCGCAACGAGATACTGGCAAGAGCAGCACTTCCGCCACGGCAGACCCACAACGAGGGCCCTGCCAGGTCGTGCGTCCTTCTTTTCCGTTGCTCGCAAAGAGCAACGCTGCGCGTTCTTCTTCTTTTGAAGCCCCAGTTTTTTCCCGTCCCCGACGTCCCGACGTCCTTGATAAAGCCGTGAAGACGTTCAGTAAAGACGTGGTTCCCTTTACCAAGCCTTTCGCAGTTCCCAGGAGATCCAAGTTGGATAAAAATCAGCCCACCCCTGCGACCGGACCTTCCCGCATTCCCCTTACCAAGACTTTCGCTTCTTCTCTCTTTCGTCGCACCGTCCCGCCCGGGGGCCCTCCACCCGTTTCTACCCATCTCAACCGATCTCGCTACCCGTTTTTGGCTCCACACGGCCCAGAAGTTCATCTCTCCTAACACGAAGCGGCACTTATCCAATTAACTCGGAGTCCGTCCATGGCGCCTACAGCTCGCCCCGCCGGGAAGACCCGTCTTTCCGGAAAGACTCGCCGTGCCGCCGCCGCGTCGGCGCTCAGACCGCCCTTTCAACCGCTCCTCCTCATCCTCCTCTCGCTCCTACTCCTACCGGCCGCTCAAATCGTCTCATGTGCGGCGGCAGCGGCGGCGCCGGGGCCTCCGCGCCTGGTGGTGCCGATGAACGCGTCCGTGGGTGAGCTGCCGTCGCATCCCCGCCCTTGCTCTCTTTGCTGTCTGTGCTTTCTTCCAACGCTACCTCCTCTGCGTGTCCCCCTCTTCCCCCTCTTCCCCCTCCCCCTCGGCTCGGCGCGCCTCGTCCCATGCCGTCCTCACTCCTCCTTGCTGCGTGCCCAACCCCGTCTTCCCCCCTTTCCCTTCTCTCCCCCTTCCCCTTCTCTCCCCTTTCCCCTTCCCCCCCCCAGTGCCCGTGCTGCTGCAGCTGCAGAACACCCTTGAGTTCGTGCAGTACAACTGGGCGGTTATTCTACCCAAGGTTCTCCGCTCATCCACGTGCGCCTTCCCCTCCCTCCCTCCCCTCCCTTCTCTCCCCTTCCCCTTCCCCTCCCACCCCCCCCAGTGCCCGTGCTCCTACAGCGGCAGAACACCCTCGAGCGCGTGTAGTACAACTGGGCGCCGATAATGCACTAGCAACCGCCGCTTCCCCTCCTCATGCCCCTCTCCTTCCCCCCTTTCCCCCAGTGCCCGTGCTGCTGCAGCTGCAGAACACCCTCGAGCTCGTGCAGTACAACTGGGCGGGCGCGGGGGACTGCGTCGTGGGGGGAGAAACGGGGGGAGCGGCGGAGCCATTCCCGCCCATCCGGGGGAGGGCCGGCGCAGGAGCTGCAGGATGGGCGGGCGTGACGTGCGACGGACACGGCAACCCCACCCGCTTGGAATTCCCCCAGCAAGGGCTCACGGGCCACCTGCCAGCTGACGTGTCCACGCTGACGTCACTCACCAAGATGTAAGCACGAAGCACGGCGTCTGACGTCACCCGTGAGATGCTCGGAGCATGCGCAGCAGACGTGGCTCCTGGAAGAGTGGATCATCTCTTAGTGCGCCAACCTCCAGCCGTCGGCCGTTGCATGGTTGGCGATGGCCACTCGGGTTCTGATATCGATCATCTCGCCTGCTCCTGCTTCCCTACGTGCCTTTCGGTGTTTCCTGCCTTTTTTCTTGCCCGCACTGGTTTCTGACACAGCTCAAGAATCGTCTCGCCTATTCTTTCCTGCTTCCATTTGTGCCTTTAGCTGGTTCCTGCCCGCGCTGGCTCCTATCGCAGCTCACGATTCGTCTTGTGTGCTCCTGCCCCTGCTTCCCTTTGTGCCCTTTGCCCGTTCCTGCGCACAGAAACCTGCAGCGAAACCTCATTATAGAGCGACTCGATGTGTTTATCAAGCCCCTCGAAGGACTAACCAACCTGCAGCACTTGTACGTTGTATTCTGCCCCCCGCCCCCTTTTGTCTGCTCTGTCCCAGTGATCTCTCTGTTCATGGTTCCAGGTGCATTGTCCTTCATCACTTCTTTGCTCTTTTTCTGAACTGCGTATTCCTGGGCACATCTCACGTGCTATTCTTCTTTTACCTCTCATCCTTCCTTTCTTTCCTCCGTTTCTTTCTTCTCTACGTTTCTTTCACATCTCCGTTTCGTTCGTTCTTCCCTCCGTTTCCTCCTTACCTCCGTTTCTGTCACCTGCAGAGACCTCTCTTCCAATTTCCTCTTCGGCAGCATCCCACCGACTATCACTGCCTTTCCCCGGCTCACAGTGCTGTGAGTATTCCTTTCCATGCATCTGGGCCGTCCGTTTCACGCGCCTCTCATCTCATCTTCCCCTTTTCACGGCCGCATCCCATCCCGCCTCTCTCTGCTGATCACTACCTTGCCCTGGCTCGCAGTGCTGTGAGTATTTCCCTCTGAGCGTTTTGGACATCTATTTCTGTTTTCACGCAACGCAACTCTCGTGTTTTCCCGCCTAATCTCTTTTGAGCTGCTTCTGACTCTGAGCTGACCAGGAAATGCCCCCCGTTCCCATTCCTTCTCCCTTATTTCTCTTGCAGATCGCTGTCAAGCAACCGTCTCACCGGCCGCGTCCCGCCCCGCCTCTCTCCCCTCCTCTCCACCTTCTCCCTCTCCTCCAACTACCTCTCGGGTCCCCTCCCCCGCACCCCCCTCCTCTGCTCCCTCCCTTCCTCCTCCCTCAACTGCTTCACTCAGCAAGACCTTGCCTCCTGCCTTGCCTACCAAACCAGCTGGGCAGTCTCGGCCGAGCCTCGCTCAGGCTCGGTTGTGCTGGACCTGGCCTCGTTTTTGGAGCAGCAGCGGCCGGAGCAGCAGTGTGGGGAGGCTCTGTGTGGGGGGGTGAGAGCGGGGGCGGGCGGGGGGGATGGGGGGAGGGGGGAGTATTGTGGGGGAAGGGGAGTTTGCCGCCCAATCATTCTGAGCCCGTCGCTCAAGTATGGCGATGTGCTGCCGTGGATGTGTGCATGCAACGACGGGGAAGTCAGAATCAAGGGCAAATGCGGTACGTCCCAATCATCATCCCCGAATATTCTGAGCCCGCCGCTGAAGTTTGCATACCCATGCTCGCAAGAGCTGCTCATCCCCATCTCCATCCCCATACCCATACCCATGCTCGCATCACACAGCATGCATCCCCTCACGACCCTTCGCCCCTCTATCATCAACGCCAGTGCTTGAACCGACCCTCTTCTCTCTCCCTCCTTCACTCACCCCTCCCCTTGTCCTCCCTTTCAGGTCCCCAGTTGGTGCGCAAGAGCTGCCCATCCCCATCCCCATGCCCGCAGCACGCAACATGCATGCCCTTCATCCTCTCACCTCTCGGCTACCAGTGCCAGTGCACCCATCCCTGCTACGGTGTCCCAGCGCGTGACAACAAAGGGCGGATCGTGGAGTGCAGGGCGAGAGTTGGGGCCCCTGAGTGTGCTTATACTGAAGGGAGGGCTGTGGGGGGGGAGGACATGGATGGACTGGAGGTGGAATAGAGGGGGGCGATGCAGAGTGGGTACCTAATAAACTAGTAGCTGGGGGAAGCGGAAATGGATGTCCAACTAATACCCTGGATTAAGTACCTACATATAGCAGTTTGAAGGTACATAAATAGACCTGGATGTGCCGCTACGTGTTTGCAGCCGCAAGGCTATACGTATATGGGCAACGTATATAGATTGCGATGTTTGGTTTGCACTGTTTTGATTTTACTCGTTACCCGTCTTGGATGTGTTTGTTTTATGGTTGAATAAAACATTATGTTTCATGGGAGAATCTGTATTTAATGATTTTCGTAGGAAACAGTACAAAAACTGAAGTGTTCCAAGTGGCTTCCAAGAACTCGTCTTGACCCGAATCGGAGCGCAAAATAGCGCGTGGAGTTGTTCAAAGTGTGCCAGTGAGGGTTTGGTGGCTCATTTTCAGGCACTCTTCTCTCAAGTCCCTGTGAGATTGCTTGCTAGAGGTTTAGTCCTAATCGATATTTAGCCCTACCTTAGGTGTCACTTATTGGTCGCCGACCATCTTCATCAGTCAGACTTGGATCACAGGTATATTTTTTTGCCGTTTCGTTTTTTCCCTTTCCGCCGTCCGCCAGTGAAATTATTATTTGCAGCTAATCTTGGACCTTATGATGGGGAACGATGTTTTGATCAGGTGGTGGTTTGCGTGATCGCCAGTCATGGCGCGGGTTTACGTTGGTAATCTGGATCCGCGTGCCACGGAACGAGAGCTTGAAGACGAGTTTCGAAGCTATGGCGTATTAAGGAGGTATGTTTCGTCAAGGAAGAGCTTCCTTCACTTATCGGAATGAAGTTCCTTAATTGATTGACTTTTTTTTTTCTATCTGCAGTGTCTGGGTCGCTAGAAAGCCACCTGGCTTCGCTTTTATCGAGTTCGACGACCACAGAGATGCGCAAGATGCTATTCGAGCACTTAACGGTAAGAGAAAAAACGTTAACGTTGAGGTTGAAATAACTAAGTACTTCGCTGGTAATAGAATTGTGGATACCGATTTCATTTGTCTGTTTGTTCATGTGACATCAGGTAAGCAAGGCTGGCGTGTGGAGCTTTCCCGGGCTTCTGGCGGAGGGGGAGGTGGTCCGGTCCCCGTGCGACGGGGAGGCGACGACATGCGATGCTACGAGTGCGGCGAACCTGGTCATTTCGCTCGCGAGTGTCGCATGCGTCTCGGAGGGGGAGGAGGTGGAGCGCGCGGTCGCAGCCCTCCGCGTTATCGCCGAAGCCCTGATTACGGTCGCGAGAGGTGAGTTCCGCGTTTCACGTTGAAATAGTGTTGGAATAGTTTTTTAGATGACCTGTTTTAGATTGTAGATCGTCTATATATTCTTCGGTTGCCGTATTCGTTTCCTTCTTTCCTCGGTCCTTGTTGTTTTCCCAACTTTACTGTGTTTAGGTCACTTGTTACCTTGTTAATTTCAACTGATCGTGTCCCCTTTCTGCGTCCCTTCATTAGGGACGCCTCACCTCGTCGCAGGAGCCCGTCTCCCCGCCGCCGAAGCCCCTCCCCGGGCGGTCGTCGCCGGAGCCCCTCCCCCGCCGCCGGAGCCCTTCCCCGGACAGGCGCCGCGGAAGCCGATCTCCCCCGCGCGTCCGCAGCCCGCCCGCCGGGTCCCCGCGCCGTGACGAGTGAGTTCCCGCGCGCTGTACCGCCCTTTCCGATCTCTTCCCCGTCCCCATTCTCGTATCCCTCTCCTCATCATGTCCGTCCTTTGGTCTCTCCTCTCAAACTTCCTCACCCTCTCACCCTCCCACCGTCCTTTCCACTCTCCATACGTACCTACCACCTGGCTTTGATTGTGCTCTTTCCGTAGCTCGCCTGACGCCAAGTGAGTGATGACGTCTCTGTGCGTTCCCCTCAGGCGGAGCCCCTCTCCTCGCCGCCGCCGGAGCCGCAGCCGCAGTTAGAGGACCAGAGCACCGGAGAACGTGCTTTTCTGGCGGACTGCTGAGTGCGGGTTGTAGCGGATGCCTCCTTTGTGGACTGCTGCTTCGGGATCTACCTTCTAACATAGCTTCAAGAGTTCTTTTAGGGGATCAGCTGTTGCAGCCTTCTCTTTACGAGCTGCTTCGTTGTCTCTGCATCTTCTGTCAGCACCTTCTATCTGCATCTTCTAGAATGTGGACTACACAATAAGCAATGGAATCGGCCTTCTGCCCTTCGGCTGCTCCTGCGGCCTCCAATCTGCACTCTGCAATTCTGCTGTGTAGACTGCTCCTCTGCTCGTCTGCTCTCTGCCCGTCCCTGCTTCTCTGCTCGTCACTGCTTTCTGCTCTTCTCTGCACTGCTCTGCACTGCACTGCACTCCCTTCCCTGCCCTCCCACTTCCCAGGTCTGTGCTTTCCTGTCCTTTGCTTTTCTGCACTGCTATTTGTTTTCCTTAAGGAAATAACACCAGTAGAGGTCCAGGGTTTGCTAGTGTCAAGTGTAACCCATCAGCATGTCAGGCAAGAGTCACAATTGCTTCTAAATTACAGCGCACCCACTGAACAATCCCTTCTCTTGTTGCTATGACACTGTCTGGCTACAATATTGGCTGTTCAAAGCGGCTTGGAGAGGAACCTGGACCTGGTTCCCTCAGTTCCAGCTTGGGCTTGTGGCACACGCTCTCTGTGCTCCCTTGTTCTTGTGAACAAGCCCTGTGTAATCCATGCTTGACCTTGGCGTTCTGCATAACAGGGCCAAACATTCTTGTCTCTGCATAAGGTAAGGTGGCAGGAATAGCTGCCATTCACGTCCAGGCTGTATGCCATGATCTGGCTATGATGCTGCAATGATTTGCTGCTTTTCTCCTGTCTAACATGCATGCTATAATGGCCTTTCTTTCTCAATGAAGCTTTGTACAAGGTGCAAGACATGTAATGTGGAATTTCAAACAAACGAAGGATGTAATAGAAATGGTAAATGTGGCGAAGTCATCTTATTGACACATATTCCTGATAGTACCAGTACTATTGCTACATCGGGTCAGCAAGCGGTACACTCATTGTGCATAAACTGAACAGGAACAACTTGTGGGGTACCGTTAGGAATCAGGGTATCATGACTATTTCACCCTGATTTGAAAGGGTGTGGGGCAAATTCGGCCTCGAAACACCTTTTTACCCTTACGAAATCAGGGTGTACTCTGAAAAGTGGCTGCTGGCAAGGATAATCAGGGTGAAATACCCTTGAATCACTGCCCCCCCCTAAGAGCCATGCTCGTTTGCATCAAGTTTCACCCTGGGAAATGCTGGTACAGGAGACCCAGCATTGGGCGCCCATGGTAGTTCTGGACCTGCCTACTGCGGGTGCTCCCCACAGCATTCCGGCCCGTTCTAAAGCAGCTTCAGCCAAAGCTGGTCATGCTGGCATCCCCTTCCAGCATATGCCGAGTCCCAATCTAGTGATGGGTGCATAAATCCAACCTTACGCACGTGCTGGCCGTACTTAGACCCTGCCTACTGCGGGTGCTCCTGGCACCACTCCCTTGCATTCTGGAACAGCTTCAGCCACGGGCTGGGCCCGCTCGCATCCATCCTCTCCCTCCACTCCTTAGGCGCCCACGGCATCTGCCACATCATGTAGCACCGCTCGGGGTGCGGCATCATCGCCAGATGCCGCCCATCCGGCGAGCACAGTGCCGCTATCCCTGCTGGGGACCCGTTAGGGTTGAAGGGGTAGGTCTCGGTGGGCGCGCCATCGTCGTCGCAGTAGCGGATCGGAGCGAGGTTGGAGGAGAGGACGGAGTCGAGGAGGGAGGAAGAGGGGAAGAGCGCGCGGCCCTCCCCGTGTGCCACCCAGATGCCCACTCTCGTGCCCTCCATGCCCCTGGCAGGATGGGGAATAATGGAACCAGAGAGAGGGATACAGGAGGTAAGCCAGGGGGGGCATGAGCTCCCCGAGAGAAAGCATATGGTGCAGCCCCCTGAGCCACCCAGATGCCCACCCTCATGTTCTCCATGCCCCTGGCAGGATGGGAACGCTTAAGGAAAGGCAGCGAACAAAGGTGATAGCAATTGGGGGGAGCTAAGGAGTTGACTGAGGGTACATACACATAGGGGTGTCGGGGCATGCATCGAGGTTACAGCAGCTGCCCTCACCTGAGCATGACAGCGGGGGACCCGTCAATCTGCACGGTCGAGACGTGGCACTCAAAGCTCCCAACTCGTTGAGCATAAAACGAGCCACAGAAAGCACACAGTACCATACATGCTGGCTGGGCTTACAAGCCCCTCACCTGAGCATGACGGCAGGCGAGTCGTCGATCTGCACGGTGGAGAAGCGGCACTCGAAGCGCCCCGACTCGTTATGCACGAAGCGGGGCTGAGCCGCGTCGCCCCCCTCGCCCATCACTCCCCCCACCTCGGGACCAGGAACCTTCGGGGGGGAGCAGAAGCAAGGAGGAGTAAGGGGAAGCTTTAGATTCCAGCACTGCCCTGTGCCAGAGAGAACCACTGATTTGCAACACAACTGCCTGCACCACCCCTGAGCCACCACCACCCCTGAGCCACCACCACCCCTGAGCCACCACCCCTCACCCAACACCCCTAGCCAGCCACCCCTCGCCCACCAACCCTCGCCAGCCACCCCTCGCCCTTCATCCCTCCCCCTTCACCCCTCCCCCTTCACCCCTCCCCCTTCACCCCTCCCCCTTCACCCCTCCCCCTTCACCCCTCCCCCTTCACCCCTCCCCCTTCACCCCTCCCCCTTCACCCCTCCCCCTTCATCCCTCCCCCTTCACCCCTCCCCCTTCACCCCTCCCCCTTCATCCCTCCCCCTTCACCCCTCCCCCTTCACCCCTCCCCCTTCATCCCTCGCCCTTCATCCCTCACATTCCAGGGCGGAAAACCCACCCTCCATGTCTGCCGAACCCAACCCAGCAGCCCGGCACTCACCCATCCCAGCAGCGCCATGAGCTGGCACCCGTTGCAGATCCCCAGGCTGAATGTGTCTGCTCGTTGGTAGAAGGCATCAAACTGGGCTTTAAGGGCCTCGTTGAACCGGATGGCTGCTGCCCACCCCTTGGCCGAATCAAGCACGTCGGCATAACTGCGAGTAGAGAGAAGAAAGGGAAGAGAGGGGAGGGGGGGGGGGGGGATGGATCAAACTGGGCTTTAAGGGGGTCATTGAGCATGTCGCTGCTGCCCGCCCTTTGGCCGAATCAAGCACGTCGTGTGTGTGAGTGGTTCAGGGAGGGCAAAAGAGGCAAGAAGGGGATGGGGAGAGCTAATGAGCTCAAATGAACACAACACACATGTGCTGACGTGACGACGTGTGTGAAAAGACTCTCTGGTTTCCAGGTGCATTCGGGTGGGAAAAAACACATTCGGGTGGGAAAAAACACATTCGGGTGGGAAAAAACACACAGTCTTATCGTGAGGCGATTTCAGCTGAGACACCACACCACCTGAAATCGCCTGGCGAGACACCAAACGAAGACCTACCTGGAGCCACCAACGCAGTTAACATCCCTGAATTCATCCAACCTCGCCCTCCCTTGAAGCAGATCCGATACAGTCACATCCCACGGCTCCATGCTCCCCTTATGCTCCCCACTCATACATACCTGAAGCCGCCAACAAAGATGATGCCCCTAAAGTCGTCCAGCTTCGCCCTCCCTTGCAGCAAATCCGATACAGTCACATCCCACGGCTCCATGCCTGCCGCCCACACTGCTGCTGCCATCTCCCTGTCGCCGTTGCTGCCCTCCTCCCTCAATACAGCCACACGGGGCTTGGAGGATGCAGTCAGGAGCTGCAAGGGAGGGAAATGGGAGAGAGGGAAATCAGAGCCGGCTCCATGCCTGCCGCCCACGCCGCTGCTGCCATCTCCCTGTTGCCGTTGCTGCCTTTTTCTCTCAAGACTGCCACTCGGGGCTTGGTACTGGCAGGGAAATGGGGAGAGAGTGTGACTGAGAGTCGGCCCCACGCCTGCTGCCCACACCGCTGCTTGCTGCCATCTCCCTGTAGCGGTTTCTGCCCTCCTCCCTCAACCCTGCCAACCGCGGCTTCGTGGTGGCAGTCAGGACCTGTTTTGAGACGAGGCTTCGTGGTGGCAGTCAGGACCTGTTTTGAGACGAGGCTTCGTGGTGGCAGTCAGGACCTGTTTTGAGACGAGGCTTCGTGGTGGCAGTCAGGACCTGTTTTGAGACGAGGCTTCGTGGTGGCAGCCAGGACCTGTTTTGAGACGAGGCTTCGTGGTGGCAGTCAGGACCTGTTTTGAGACGAGGCTTCGTGGTGGCAGTCAGGACCTGTTTTGAGACGAGGCTTCGTGGTGGCAGTCAGGACCTGTTTTGAGACGAGGCTTCGTGGTGGCAGTCAGGACCTGTTTTGAGACGCCGCAAAACTAACCTACTAAACCACGAGGCTTCGTGGTGGCAGGCGGTCAGAAAGGGTTCAGTGGGAAAGGAGAATGAAAGAGGGGGCATATTAGAGTCGGCTGTTGCCACATCCCTGTCGCCGTTGCTGCCCTCAACGCCGCCACACGCGGCTTAGTGGTTGCTGCAAGGAGCTGGAGTGGGGGAGGAGAAAGAGAAGGAGGTTCTATTAAAATTCGCATGACTCTCAGAGGCAAAACAGACGACTCTTCCCACACGTTTCCCTCTCTCTTGAGTCGAACTAAGGGCCCTGTTCAAGCCGACTCAAAAGACATTTTCGAGTCGACTCAAAAGTCAACTTATTTGCATGACTCAGAGGCAGATCGACGACTCAAACACGTTTCCCTTTGTATCGCACTCCAACCCACCCTACCTCATGGGCAGCCGTGCTAGGAATAAACTCGAGGTTCCAAGACAGTTACTTGCGGTGCTTGAGTCCGTCCCTCTCCATGCAGCGGTGCACTGCATTTGCTCCAGCAGGAAGGACGACTCTTCCCACACGCCCCCTACCCCTCCCTACCTCTGTTCCTCACCCCACCTTACCTCACGGGCGGTCCTGCTGGGTAACTACTCGTACAATCACGCATGGTAGCAGCCATACACAAGCTGCACCTCTGTGCCTCGCCCCACCTTACCTCATGGGCGGTCCTGCTGGGTGTGAAGCCAAGGTTCCAAGAAGGTTCCTTCCGGTGCTTGAGCCCGTCCCTCTCCGCCGCGGCGCACGTCTCGGTGCGCTGCATGTGCTCCAGCAGGAAGGACGACTCCTCCCACACGTCCCGCCACGCCGGCATCGACTCCCCCTCTAACACCGGCACCCCCGCCACCGCTACCGAGAGGAGCGGGCCAGAGGAGGAAGACGATGGGACTTGGCCGATTACTGTAGCAGGGACCTGGGCGGCGGACAGGGTGCGCAGGACTTCGTCCTGGTTGGCCGGCGCCACCTCGATCACGAGCCCCAGCTCTTCTGAGAACAGGGTGGCAAACACATCCACCTCCTCCTCCCCCTCCAATGCCGGAATGTCGACGGTAGCACCGGTGTTGCCAGCAAAGGCCATCTCGAGAATGGCTGTGATGATGCCCCCATCGCTGATGTCGTGGCCTGACGCAATGAGACGACGGCCGATGAGATCCTGAGGCGATGCAGGAAGGGGGGAGGGGGAGAGGGGAAGGTAAGTTAGGTGCAGCAGTGGTGCTGCCCTCTCGAGGATGGCAGTGATGATGCCCCCGTCGCCGATGTGATGGCCTGACGCGATGAGGCAACGACCATCAGGTCCTGAGATGCTAGAAATGGGGGTTGGAGGAGGGGGGTTGGAGGAGGGGGGTTGGAGGAGGGGGGTGGAATGTGCAGCTGAAAGACACATGTGTGCAGCTAAAAGACACATGTGTGCAGCTAAAAGACACATGTGTGCAGCTAAAAGACACATGTGTGCAGCTAAAAGACACATGTGTGCAGCTAAAAGACACATGTGTGGAGCTAAAAGACACATGTGTGGAGCTAAAAGACTCATGTGTGAACACCGGAATGGCTTAACCAATCGAACATGCCTGGCTGTAATGTGCATATCTCAATGGGGATGAAACATGCATACCTGCACGGCGTTAAAGCCCCTCTTCAGCAGGTCCACGTCAGCATCTGGTGACTCATCGCCTATCTGGTCGTACACATGTGCCAACGCCGACCCGCCCACTCGTCTGTGCCCGGCGCTCAGGTCAACATGAATCAAGACGCCCTCTCCTGGGAGCTGTGAAGGGAAGGCGGCAGGAGGAGGAGACGGGAAGGGGAGAGAAAGACAGTGCATGCGTCGCCCCATGCATCCCACCCAACAGCCGCCCACTCGCCTGTGGCTCGCACTCAGGTCCACGTGGATCAAGACACCTTCGCCTGGGGGATGTGAAGGGAAGGAGGCAGGAGGGGGGTACGGGAAAGGGAGAGAAAGACAGTGCACGCGCCACCCCATGCATCCCATCCAACAGCCGCCCGCTCGCCTGTGCCCAGCGCTCAGGTCCACGTGAATCAGGACGCCTCCCCCTGGGAGCTGTGGGAGAGGTGAAAAGGAAACGAGGAAAGGTGAAGGGGTGTGTGTGTGAGGGTACGCCGGACATGCCATCACCCCACCCACCCACTCGCCTGTGCCCTGCACTCAGGTCCACGTGGATCAATCAAGACACCTTCCCCTGGGAGCTGTGGGAGAGGCGAAAAAGAAGAGAGAAAAAGGTGAAGAGGTGTGTGCGTGAGGGTATGTGCAGCACATGCCATCGATCCCGCCCACTCGCCTGTGGCCCACACTCGGGTCCACCTGGGTGCCCCGCATGCCCTCTGCTGGAACTTGAAGTGGTGAAGACAAGGGGAGAGAGGTAGATGGGGTGAGTGAAGGAGAAACATTGATACTAGCTTCAGCACAAACACCTAAGAGACAATATTGGCAGCTCTTTTGTGACTGTGTGGCAATATTTGGACAGGTGGTATCTTGGACCGGTGGCATTCTCAGTCCGTCCCCCTCTCCCCTTCCCTTCCTTACCTTGAGGTCTGGCGTCACAGTGAGGGTGATGCCTGGGCCGGTCACATACGTGCTCATCACCAGATCGCCTGCTGATCCTACTCCCTCCTTCCCCCCCTTACCTTGAGATCGGGCGTCACTGTGAGGGTGATATCTGGGCAGGTGACATATGCGCTCATCACCAGATTACCAGGCGCCATCACGGTCTCTCCGCCCGCCTGCACGCGGGGAGAGGAGCCGGGGGGAGGAAGGGCCAGGCAGGAAAGCACCGGGAGGCGGATATGCATATGTGCGAATGCACGCAGGCAACAGGGGAGCCCGAGAGATGATGGAAGCGGATATTGTAGACAGTAGCAGTCACTCGCGCCGACTACACTCAACTGCTCGTTACAGCCACAAGCACTCAATGTAGGAGCCATGGACAGGCTATCCTTTCCCCCATCCACCACTATCGTCCTTCGATGCCACTGCGGCATCGTACATGGCTGCTGGTGTGGCAGTCAGCAGCCACTCTCGAGACCATCACATTCTGCTCTCGTTACAATCACAGTCGCTCACAGTAGCAGCCCTGGAGAGGCGGTCCTTGCCCCCATCCACCGCAATCCCCAGCGCCACCATCGCCACCTTCAGCGCCACTGCTAGCTGCAAACCGCGAGCCCTACTTCTCTGCGACCCCTACTTCCACCATCGCCTCCTTCAGCGCCACTGCTGCATCGTACATGGCTGCTCCAATGCCAGCCATACACGGCAATCCAGAGTGCCCACTCTTCTTACAACCACTCACCGTAGCAGCCATTGACAGGCTGTCCTTTCCCCCATCCACCGCGATCCCTAACTCCACCATCGCCTCCTTCAAGGCCACTGCCGCATCATACATGGCGGCTCCCTCTCCTCCCATCTTGGCCGCATACATCCAGTTGCCACTGGCTTTGACGTCCTCTAGAGCAGTGACCTGGAGGGGAGGAGTTGTGAAAGGCGGCGAGATGGGGTCAAGTCAAGTTGGATGTGCATCACACACGGCTGCTCCCTCGGCTCCCATCTTGGCTGCATACATCCAGTTGCCACTGGCCTTGACGTCCTCCAGTGCCGTGACCTGGACAGTAAAGGGGGAAAGGGTAGAGGGGAGAGGGGAGAGAGGGTCACGTTCGGCGAGCATCACACACGGCTGCTCCCTCGCCTCCCATCGTGGCCGCATACATCCAATTGCCACTGGCCTTGACATCTTCCAATGCTGTGACCTGCACAGTGAGAGAGAGTACACGGGTCAGTAAGGCCGGCTGCACCATCCTCGCCCAGCTTCGCCGCATACGTCCAATTGCCACTCGCTACTCATTTTCACATTCTCTAGAGCTGTGGCCCTGGGGGGGGGAGAGAGGTTCATGTGGAAAAGCAGCAAGCAACTACACATGGCTACCCCATAAGGTCAGGGTCGCCAGACCATGTCAAGCCAGCACACAAGAAGTCCACATCACAAGATCCTGCACAAAGGGCCCAAACCCCATCAATCCCCATAAATAACCACACCATCAGGGAGGGGAGAGGGTGGGGAAGCAGCAACCACAGATGGCTACCCCATACCCATAGGGCGAGAGTCGCCAGACCATGTCAAGCCAGCACACAGAAGTCCACATCACTAAGGCCTACAGCCTAAAACCCATCACTCCACGCAGCATAAGCCCACCTTAGCCCAGACGAGGTTGGTGAGGGCCTCCCCGATCGCCATACGGGCCATGGCTGCCGGGTTGATGAGGCCCTGGAGTAAGGCGCAGAAAGAGGGGAGGTGGTGTGGAGAGATAGGGAATACTTCTGAGTCGAGTCAGAAGCCATGGCTGCTGGGTTGATCACGCCTTGGTGTAATCACAGAAAGAGGGGAGGTGGAGAGGTGGGGAATTAGGGGAGGGAGAAGAGGGAGAGGGGCGACAGGGAAATGTGGAAAACGGTTCGGATTGAGGTAGGCTCGGTCTCTTTGTACTTGTAAACACAACTGCTGCTTCTCGCATCGCCGATGCCCTTTTGGCATCAACTTAGTCCGCTTAGGGCATCAACACGTGGAGATTCGTAGGGTCCACGCGGCATACCTTGATTGGCTGCTCTCCAATGGCGCATGCCGCTCCTGTGATGCCTGTATGGGTCTGCGCAAGCACCATGCACGGTTGCATCACGCAGAGGGCCATACACACATCACAGAGAGGGCCATACACACATCATGCAGAGGGCCATACACACATCACGCAGAGGGCCATACACACATCACGCAGAGGGCCATACACACATCACGCAGAGGGCCATACACACATCACGCAGAGGGCCATACACACATCACGCAGAGGGCCATACACACATCACGCAGAGGGCCATACACACATCATGCAGGCACCATTCGCAATGCGGCATGCATGCATCATGGATAACACAATGCACACACGGATAACACAATGCACATGGCACGCGTAAGGGGTGGAGAGGAAGGGTAGGAATTACATGGAGGCATGCTGAGGCACACACGAGATGGTGATTTGAAACGCTAGGGGCCGCCTCACAACAAAGAACCAACTTCACACTTCGCATCCTTAGCTTCGGCTTTGGTGCAGTGGATCTAGTCAAATGACATGCTGCAAGCACAACTTCCATCTGCCCTTTTGGAACGACCTGCTGCCACGCCAGCAAGTGTGATCCGTACCTGAGCAATGACTGCCACGTCAGCAAGGGTGATCTGCAGTGGGCCCACAGTCTGCTGCTGAGCCACGAGGCCCGTCACACAGCGATCCACCTGAAGGGAGGAGGGAGGGAGGGGGGAGAGAGAGAGGGAGGAGATCAAAGGTGGGAAAAGTACTCTGGAGAGAGAGGAGGGAGGAGGGAGGAAGGAAGGCGTGAGAGAGCAAGGGACGCATGAGGCACTCTGGCATCTGTGCCGCCGAAACTAGTTCCAGCCTACCATACCTTGGTGGCACTGGCGCACAGAGCTCAAGCCACGCACCTTGGTGGTTAGAAACCGCTTCGAAGCAACCGAGGGCAGCCTTAGTAGACGCTTCAGGGGCCATGATCTCAGGCGGCAGCTTCAGCTCAGTGGCTCCCTCTCATCATCAGTGCTACTATTACGATACCAGCCCAACATACTTTGGTGGTGAGGAAGCCCTTGCATGCAACTGAGGGCAGCCACAGCAGGCGCTCGAGAGCCTCTGACACTGTGAGCGCAGAGGCAGATCCAGGCAAGGGCTCCCTCTCGTCTGAGCGTGAGTATACTGATACGAGCCCAACATACCTTGGTGGTGAGGAAGCACTTGGACGCAACCGACAGCAGCCTCAACAGGCGCCTGAGTGCCTCAGGCACGGTCAGCGCAGGGGGCAGCTCCAGGGGCTCCCTCTCGTCCGTGCTATCTTATAACTTGGTAGTGAGCAACTGACGACACTCCACGCACCTTGGTGGTGAGGAACCGCTTGGACGCAACCGATGGCAGCCTTAACAGGCGCTTGAGTGCCTCTGAAACTGTGAGGGCAGGGGGCAGCTCCAAGGGCTCCCTCTCGTCCGTGCTGCGCACAAAGTCAAAGCGCTTGCTCGGCATGTCGCCCAGAACCTTGTCTAGATCCAGGTCGACGGCAGGGAGAGGGGCCGCCTTGCCTGCTGCTGCTGCCTCCTGCTGCTCCCTGGAATCAAACAGAACCACCTTGCCCGAGCCACTGGGGGAGGGGAGAAACGCACAGGATGGGGAGAGACGAGTGAGAGGGAGAGCAGCACGAAGTCAAGTGCTTGCTGGGGATGTCGCCCAGCACCTTGTCTAGGTCCAAGTCCACTGCAGGGAGAGGAACTGGTTTGCCCGCTGCTGCTGGCTCCTGGTGCTCCGTGGAGTCAAAGAGAAGCACCTTGCCGGATCCACTGGGGGAAGACAGAAAAGAGATCCACTGGGGGAAGACAGAAAAGAGATCCACTGGGGGAAGACAGAAAAGAGATCCACTGGGGGAAGACAGAAAAGAGATCCACTGGGGGAAGACAGAAAGGTGGGAAAGAAGAGAGGAAGAGGGAGGGGAGAGGGAACGTCAGAGGAACAAAGATCAAACCGCTTGCTTTATCTGATCGTCCTGATAACAGCCATGGAGGGTCCCTCGCGGTCGCAGATGGAGCAGCACACAGAGTTTGGCTTCTAACGAGGACATACACACAGCACTCACCTGATGGTCCCAATAACGGCCATGGAGAGTCGTTCGCGGTCACAGATGGACCGCAGAAGTGCCTCACTCTCAGGGCGCGCCAAAAGGGCATCCTGCCGTGGTTAGGGGAGGGATGAGGCGAGGGGAGGGGAAGGGAACGGAGAGGGGAGGGGAAGAGGGGCGTTTGAGGCTCTTGAAAGCAGATCGACCGCAGACGTGCCTCACTCTAAGGGCGCGCCAAGAGGGCATCCTGCATAATAAAAACAGGGGGCGGGGGGGAAGGAGTGGGGAGGAAGTTGGGACACCAAACGCACATCAATCTCCACCTGCTCAAATGCACATACCTCCCTTCCGGTCCATTTCCACTCCCCTGAACCTCCACCTTCCCTCGTCCACTACCTGCCCCTGATCACATGATCTCACCCCCCACCACCATCATCCAACCGCACGCCTTTGCCGCCCCACCCATCTCTCTCCTCCCATAACCCCCCCCCCCCCCTTTTCCACCTTCCCTTATCCCTACCTGCTCCTGGTACTCCGCCCCCCCAGATTTCGAGAATGGACATGGTCTCATCGCCCAGCACGATCGACCGCACGTCTATTTCCCCCCAATCCTCTCCCCCCCCCCATTATCCCTACCTGCTCCTGGTAATCGGCCCCCCAGATTTCGAGAATGGACATGGTCTCATCGCCGACCACTATCGACCGCACGTCCACCCCACCCCACCCATCTGTATCCCTCATTCCCTCACACCTCCCACACCTCACCTGCTCCTGGTACTCTGCGCCCCAGATCTCGAGGATGGACATGGTCTCGTCGCCCACCACAATCGACCGCACGTCAATCTCTGCGCCCTGGGGGTATATGATCTCCTTCACCACATTGCAGTTGCCGCCCGCGCCCTGGCAGAAAGAGATGGGGGAAGGCAGGAGTGGAGAGGAAGTCAGGGAGGCACACATGGAGAGGGTTGCTCACCTGGTCATGGATACTGATAATGGCGTTCTTATCCCCCAGCTCCACGCACACATGCGCTCCACGCACATGCAGACCACACATGCGCACCACACATGTGCACCACACATGCGCTCCACACATGCGCTCCACACATGCGCTCCACACATGCACTCCACACATGCACTCCACACGCATGCGCTCCCCACATGCGCTCCACACAAACTCTTCCTACCTAGAGAAAGTAAATGTCTTAAAGCCCAACGCGCACTCACCTGGTCGTGGATGCTGAGAATGGGGTTCCTATCCCTCACCTGGTCGTGGATGCTGAGAATGGGGTTCCTATCCCTCACCTGGTCGTGGATGCTGAGAATGGGGTTCCTATCCCCCACCTGGTCGTGGATGCTGAGAATGGGGTTCCTATCCCTCACCTGGTCGTGGATGCTGAGAATGGGGTTCCTATCCCTCACCTGGTCGTGGATGCTGAGAATGGGGTTCCTATCCCCACCTGGTCGTGGATGCTGAGAATGGGGTTCCTATCCCTCACCTGGTCGTGGATGCTGAGAATGGGGTTCCTATCCCTCACCTGGTCGTGGATGCTGAGAATGGGGTTCCTATCCCCCACCTGGTCGTGGATGCTGAGAATGGGGTTCCTATCCCTCACCTGGTCGTGGATGCTGAGAATGGGGTTTCCTATCCCTCACCTGGTCGTGGATGCTGAGAATGGGGTTCCTATCCCTCACCTGGTCGTGGATGCTGAGAATGGGGTTCCTATCCCTCACCTGGTCGTGGATGCTGAGAATGGGGTTCCTATCCCTCACCTGGTCGTGGATGCTGAGAATGGGGTTCCTATCCCTCACCTGGTCGTGGATGCTGAGAATGGGGTTCCTATCCCTCACCTGGTCGTGGATGCTGAGAATGGGGTTCCTATCCCTCACCTGGTCGTGGATGCTGAGAATGGGGTTCCTATCCCTCACCTGGTCGTGGATGCTGAGAATGGGGTTCCTATCCCTCACCTGGTCGTGGATGCTGAGAATGGGGTTCCTATCCCCACCTGGTCGTGGATGCTGAGAATGGGGTTCCTATCCCTCACCTGGTCGTGGATGCTGAGAATGGGGTTCCTATCCCTCACCTGGTCGTGGATGCTGAGAATGGGGTTCCTATCCCCCACCTGGTCGTGGATGCTGAGAATGGGGTTCCTATCCCTCACCTGGTCGTGGATGCTGAGAATGGGGTTCCTATCCCTCACCTGGTCGTGGATGCTGAGAATGGGGTTCCTATCCCCCACCTGGTCGTGGATGCTGAGAATGGGGTTCCTATCCCTCACCTGGTCGTGGATGCTGAGAATGGGGTTCCTATCCCTCACCTGGTCGTGGATGCTGAGAATGGGGTTCCTATCCCTCACCTGGTCGTGGATGCTGAGAATGGGGTTCCTATCCCTCACCTGGTCGTGGATGCTGAGAATGGGGTTCCTATCCCTCACCTGGTCGTGGATGCTGAGAATGGGGTTCCTATCCCTCACCTGGTCGTGGATGCTGAGAATGGGGTTCCTATCCCTCACCTGGTCGTGGATGCTGAGAATGGGGTTCCTATCCCTCACCTGGTCGTGGATGCTGAGAATGGGGTTCCTATCCCTCACCTGGTCGTGGATGCTGAGAATGGGGTTCCTATCCCTCACCTGGTCGTGGATGCTGAGAATGGGGTTCCTATCCCTCACCTGGTCGTGGATGCTGAGAATGGGGTTCCTATCCCTCACCTGGTCGTGGATGCTGAGAATGGGGTTCCTATCCCTCACCTGGTCGTGGATGCTGAGAATGGGGTTCCTATCCCTCACCTGGTCGTGGATGCTGAGAATGGGGTTCCTATCCCTCACCTGGTCGTGGATGCTGAGAATGGGGTTCCTATCCCTCACCTGGTCGTGGATGCTGAGAATGGGGTTCCTATCCCTCACCTGGTCGTGGATGCTGAGAATGGGGTTCCTATCCCTCACCTGGTCGTGGATGCTGAGAATGGGGTTCCTATCCCTCACCTGGTCGTGGATGCTGAGAATGGGGTTCCTATCCCTCACCTGGTCGTGGATGCTGAGAATGGGGTTCCTATCCCTCACCTGGTCGTGGATGCTGAGAATGGGGTTCCTATCCCTCACCTGGTCGTGGATGCTGAGAATGGGGTTCCTATCCCTCACCTGGTCGTGGATGCTGAGAATGGGGTTCCTATCCCTCACCTGGTCGTGGATGCTGAGAATGGGGTTCCTATCCCTCACCTGGTCGTGGATGCTGAGAATGGGGTTCCTATCCCTCACCTGGTCGTGGATGCTGAGAATGGGGTTCCTATCCCTCACCTGGTCGTGGATGCTGAGAATGGGGTTCCTATCCCTCACCTGGTCGTGGATGCTGAGAATGGGGTTCCTATCCCTCACCTGGTCGTGGATGCTGAGAATGGGGTTCCTATCCCTCACCTGGTCGTGGATGCGAGATGGGGTCCTATCCCACCTGGTCGTGGATGCTGAGAATGGGGTTCCTATCCCTCACCTGGTCGTGGATGCTGAGAATGGGGTTCCTATCCCTCACCTGGTCGTGGATGCTGAGAATGGGGTTCCTATCCCTCACCTGGTCGTGGATGCTGAGAATGGGGTTCCTATCCCTCACCTGGTCGTGGATGCTGAGAATGGGGTTCCTATCCCTCACCTGGTCTGATCTGAGATGGTTCCTATCCTCCTGGTCGGGATGCTGAGAATGGGGTTCCTATCCCTCACCTGGTCGTGGATGCTGAGAATGGGGTTCCTATCCCTCACCTGGTCGTGGATGCTGAGAATGGGGTTCCTATCCCTCACCTGGTCGTGGATGCTGAGAATGGGGTTCCTATCCCTCACCTGGTCGTGGATGCTGAGAATGGGGTTCCTATCCCTCACCTGGTCGTGGATGCTGAGAATGGGGTTCCTATCCCTCACCTGGTCGTGGATGCTGAGAATGGGGTTCCTATCCCTCACCTGGTCGTGGATGCTGAGAATGGGGTTCCTATCCCTCACCTGGTCGTGGATGCTGAGAATGGGGTTCCTATCCCTCACCTGGTCGTGGATGCTGAGAATGGGGTTCCTATCCCTCACCTGGTCGTGGATGCTGAGAATGGGGTTCCTATCCCTCACCTGGTCGTGGATGCTGAGAATGGGGTTCCTATCCCTCACCTGGTCGTGGATGCTGAGAATGGGGTTCCTATCCCTCACCTGGTCGTGGATGCTGAGAATGGGGTTCCTATCCCTCACCTGGTCGTGGATGCTGAGAATGGGGTTCCTATCCCTCACCTGGTCGTGGATGCTGAGAATGGGGTTCCTATCCCTCACCTGGTCGTGGATGCTGAGAATGGGGTTCCTATCCCTCACCTGGTCGTGGATGCTGAGAATGGGGTTCCTATCCCTCACCTGGTCGTGGATGCTGAGAATGGGGTTCCTATCCCTCACCTGGTCGTGGATGCTGAGAATGGGGTTCCTATCCCTCACCTGGTCGTGGATGCTGAGAATGGGGTTCCTATCCCTCACCTGGTCGTGGATGCTGAGAATGGGGTTCCTATCCCTCACCTGGTCGTGGATGCTGAGAATGGGGTTCCTATCCCCCACCTGGTCGTGGATGCTGAGAATGGGGTTCCTATCCCTCACCTGGTCGTGGATGCTGAGAATGGGGTTCCTATCCCTCACCTGGTCGTGGATGCTGAGAATGGGGTTCCTATCCCTCACCTGGTCGTGGATGCTGAGAATGGGGTTCCTATCCCTCACCTGGTCGTGGATGCTGAGAATGGGGTTCCTATCCCTCACCTGGTCGTGGATGCTGAGAATGGGGTTCCTATCCCTCACCTGGTCGTGGATGCTGAGAATGGGGTTCCTATCCCTCCACCTGGTCGTGGATGCTGAGAATGGGGTTCCTATCCCTCACCTGGTCGTGGATGCTGAGAATGGGGTTCCTATCCCTCACCTGGTCGTGGATGCTGAGAATGGGGTTCCTATCCCTCACCTGGTCGTGGATGCTGAGAATGGGGTTCCTATCCCTCACCTGGTCGTGGATGCTGAGAATGGGGTTCCTATCCCTCACCTGGTCGTGGATGCTGAGAATGGGTTCCTATCCCTCACCTGGTCGTGGATGCTGAGAATGGGGTTCCTATCCCTCACCTGGTCGTGGATGCTGAGAATGGGGTTCCTATCCCTCACCTGGTCGTGGATGCTGAGAATGGGGTTTTCCTATCCCTCACCTGGTCGTGGATGCTGAGAATGGGGTTCCTATCCCTCACCTGGTCGTGGATGCTGAGAATGGGGTTCCTATCCCTCACCTGGTCGTGGATGCTGAGAATGGGGTTCCTATCCCTCACCTGGTCGTGGATGCTGAGAATGGGGTTCCTATCCCTCACCTGGTCGTGGATGCTGAGAATGGGGTTCCTATCCCCCACCTGGTCGTGGATGCTGAGAATGGGGTTCCTATCCCTCACCTGGTCGTGGATGCTGAGAATGGGGTTCCTATCCCTCACCTGGTCGTGGATGCTGAGAATGGGGTTCCTATCCCTCACCTGGTCGTGGATGCTGAGAATGGGGTTCCTATCCCTCACCTGGTCGTGGGATGCTGAGAATGGGGTTCCTATCCCTCACCTGGTCGTGGATGCTGAGAATGGGGTTCCTATCCCTCACCTGGTCGTGGATGCTGAGAATGGGGTTCCTATCCCTCACCTGGTCGTGGATGCTGAGAATGGGGTTCCTATCCCTCACCTGGTCGTGGATGCTGAGAATGGGGTTCCTATCCCCTCACCTGGTCGTGGATGCTGAGAATGGGGTTCCTATCCCTCACCTGGTCGTGGATGCTGAGAATGGGGTTCCTATCCCTCACCTGGTCGTGGATGCTGAGAATGGGGTTCCTATCCCTCACCTGGTCGTGGATGCTGAGAATGGGGTTCCTATCCCTCACCTGGTCGTGGATGCTGAGAATGGGGTTCCTATCCCTCACCTGGTCGTGGATGCTGAGAATGGGGTTCCTATCCCTCACCTGGTCGTGGATGCTGAGAATGGGTTCTATCCCTCACCTGGTCGTGGATGCTGAGAATGGGGTTCCTATCCCTCACCTGGTCGTGGATGCTGAGAATGGGGTTCCTATCCCTCACCTGGTCGTGGATGCTGAGAATGGGGTTCCTATCCCTCACCTGGTCGTGGATGCTGAGAATGGGGTTCCTATCCCTCACCTGGTCGTGGATGCTGAGAATGGGGTTCCTATCCCTCACCTGGTCGTGGATGCTGAGAATGGGGTTCCTATCCCTCACCTGGTCGTGGATGCTGAGAATGGGGTTCCTATCCCTCACCTGGTCGTGGATGCTGAGAATGGGGTTCCTATCCCTCACCTGGTCGTGGATGCTGAGAATGGGGTTCCTATCCCCCACCTGGTCGTGGATGCTGAGAATGGGGTTCCTCAGGGGGGGGGGGGTCCTATCCCTCACCTGGTCGTGGATGCTGAGAATGGGGTTCCTATCCCTCACCTGGTCGTGGATGCTGAGAATGGGGTTCCTATCCCTCACCTGGTCGTGGATGCTGAGAATGGGGTTCCTATCCCCCACCTGGTCGTGGATGCTGAGAATGGGGTTCCTATCCCTCACCTGGTCGTGGATGCTGAGAATGGGGTTCCTATCCCTCACCTGGTCGTGGATGCTGAGAATGGGGTTCCTATCCCTCACCTGGTCGTGGATGCTGAGAATGGGGTTCCTATCCCTCACCTGGTCGTGGATGCTGAGAATGGGGTTCCTATCCCTCACCTGGTCGTGGATGCTGAGAATGGGGTTCCTATCCCCCACCTGGTCGTGGATGCTGAGAATGGGGTTCCTATCCCTCACCTGGTCGTGGATGCTGAGAATGGGGTTCCTATCCCCCACCTGGTCGTGGATGCTGAGAATGGGGTTCCTATCCCTCACCTGGTCGTGGATGCTGAGAATGGGGTTCCTATCCCCCACCTGGTCGTGGATGCTGAGAATGGGGTTCCTATCCCTCACCTGGTCGTGGATGCTGAGAATGGGTTCCTATCCCCCACCTGGTTCTGTGGTTCTTCCCTCCCTGGTCTGATGGAGAATGGGGTTCCTATCCCCACCTGGTCGTGGATGCTGAGAATGGGGTTCCTATCCCTCACCTGGTCGTGGATGCTGAGAATGGGGTTCCTATCCCTCACCTGGTCGTGGATGCTGAGAATGGGGTTCCTATCCCTCACCTGGTCGTGGATGCTGAGAATGGGGTTCCTATCCCTCACCTGGTCGTGGATGCTGAGAATGGGGTTCCTATCCCCCACCTGGTCGTGGATGCTGAGAATGGGGTTCCTATCCCTCACCTGGTCGTGGATGCTGAGAATGGGGTTCCTATCCCTCACCTGGTCGTGGATGCTGAGAATGGGGTTCCTATCCCCACCTGGTCGTGGATGCTGAGAATGGGGTTCCTATCCCTCACCTGGTCGTGGATGCTGAGAATGGGGTTCCTATCCCCCACCTGGTCGTGGATGCTGAGAATGGGGTTCCTATCCCTCACCTGGTCGTGGATGCTGAGAATGGGGTTCCTATCCCCCACCTGGTCGTGGATGCTGAGAATGGGGTTCCTATCCCTCACCTGGTCGTGGATGCTGAGAATGGGGTTCCTATCCCTCACCTGGTCGTGGATGCTGAGAATGGGGTTCCTATCCCCACCTGGTCGTGGATGCTGAGAATGGGGTTCCTATCCCTCACCTGGTCGTGGATGCTGAGAATGGGGTTCCTATCCCCACCTGGTCGTGGATGCTGAGAATGGGGTTCCTATCCCCACCTGGTCGTGGATGCTGAGAATGGGGTTCCTATCCCTCACCTGGTCGTGGATGCTGAGAATGGGGTTCCTATCCCCCACCTGGTCGTGGATGCTGAGAATGGGGTTCCTATCCCTCACCTGGTCGTGGATGCTGAGAATGGGGTTCCTATCCCCCACCTGGTCGTGGATGCTGAGAATGGGGTTCCTATCCCTCACCTGGTCGTGGATGCTGAGAATGGGGTTCCTATCCCTCACCTGGTCGTGGATGCTGAGAATGGGGTTCCTATCCCCCACCTGGTCGTGGATGCTGAGAATGGGGTTCCTATCCCTCACCTGGTCGTGGATGCTGAGAATGGGGTTCCTATCCCCCACCTGGTCGTGGATGCTGAGAATGGGGTTCCTATCCCTCACCTGGTCGTGGATGCTGAGAATGGGGTTCCTATCCCCACCTGGTCGTGGATGCTGAGAATGGGGTTCCTATCCCTCACCTGGTCGTGGATGCTGAGAATGGGGTTCCTATCCCCACCTGGTCGTGGATGCTGAGAATGGGGTTCCTATCCCTCACCTGGTCGTGGATGCTGAGAATGGGGTTCCTATCCCTCACCTGGTCGTGGATGCTGAGAATGGGGTTCCTATCCCCCACCTGGTCGTGGATGCTGAGAATGGGGTTCCTATCCCTCACCTGGTCGTGGATGCTGAGAATGGGGTTCCTATCCCCACCTGGTCGTGGATGCTGAGAATGGGGTTCCTATCCCTCACCTGGTCGTGGATGCTGAGAATGGGGTTCCTATCCCCTCACCCTGGTCGTGGATGCTGAGAATGGGGTTCCTATCCCTCACCTGGTCGTGGATGCTGAGAATGGGGTTCCTATCCCTCACCTGGTCGTGGATGCTGAGAATGGGGTTCCTATCCCCCACCTGGTCGTGGATGCTGAGAATGGGGTTCCTATCCCTCACCTGGTCGTGGATGCTGAGAATGGGGTTCCTATCCCCCACCTGGTCGTGGATGCTGAGAATGGGGTTCCTATCCCTCACCTGGTCGTGGATGCTGAGAATGGGGTTCCTATCCCCCACCTGGTCGTGGATGCTGAGAATGGGGTTCCTATCCCTCACCTGGTCGTGGATGCTGAGAATGGGGTTCTCATCCCCCAGCTCCACGCACGTGCGAACCACGCGGTTCAGCTTCTGAGCCATCTCCGCGTCACCCCTCTGCACCGCATTGAAATCCATCTCTGCATCCCGCGTGCCTGACACCATGCTGCTGGCAGCTCCTCCCCCCATGCCGATGCGGTACGCCGGACCTCCAATCTGGACAGGGCAAAGGGGGCGGAGCAGAGCAGCATGTATTGAAGAGGGGATTTGGGTTGGTTGTGCTCTGCAGCGCGCAAGCCCACTACCCTGCCCATGCCAGTGCGGCGAGCTGGGGTTCCTGTCTGGATAGGGCGAGGGGGGACATGACACGACACGACACGACACGACACGAGCAAAACCAGATGAAGGGAGTGCTCAAGATGCCAGTATTGTAAACCTCGTGCTGCTGCCTGTACCCTCCCCCTCCTCCTTCCCTCTCCCCCTTCCCTCTCCCCCTTCCCTCCTCTCCCTCCCTCCTGACTCCCCTTGACTCACCTTTACCACGAGCATGCCCACATCTGACTCCTCCTTCTCCAGGTGATGCCCCCACTGAAGCCTGAACGTGATGGGCTTCACCCACTCCCTCCTTATGTTGACTCGCGTTGACTGGCGTTGACCGGCGTTGACCCACCTTGACAACAATCATGCCCACATCCGGCTCGTCCTTCTCCAGGTGCCGGTGGTCGATCTGCCCGATGCCCCCGCTGAACATGATGGGCTTCAGCCATACCCTCCTAGCGTTGACTGGCGTTGACCCCGCTTGACTCACCTTGACAACAATCATGCCCACATCCGGCTCGTCCTTCTCCAGGTGTCGGTGGTCGATCTGCCCGATGCCCCCGCTGAACATGATGGGCTTCAGCCACTCCCTCCTGTCCCCGCTCGGCAGGCGCATGCCGAATGTGCGAGTGTACCCTTGAATCAGAGGCTCCCCGAACTTGTTGCCGTAGTCCGATGCACCATCACTCGCATCCAGAAGAATCTGAAGAAAGGGGTGTTGAGGGGTGGGGAAGGGTGGGGAAGGGTGGGGAAGGGTGAGGGTGAGGATGGGAAGTGGAATGGGTGCACACAATGGGTGTTAACCGGTGCAGTGCTAAGGAAGCAAGGTGTGTGCAGGGCTGACCTGGAGCGGAGGAGCGAGGTTGGGCGGGTACTGAAACGAGGTGTCCTCCCACGGTGCTGCATGCCCCTCCATCTGATGTGATTATAACGAGGGGTGGACAGGACGAAAGAGCCAGAGACAAGAAAAGGGGAGAAATGTTCTCTAGGGAGGGTAAAAAGGGGCTGCTGAGCTTTTAATCTGCTGCCGCCATAAGACTGCTATGGAGCTTTCGATTTGGGTCTGCAACCCAGACCCAAATCTGGAAAGAAGAACACTTTCCTCTCCTCACCGGACCGCAAGTTGCCCATGCAATAACCTGCCGTGGCTGCAACATCTAGCAACTTGACTGCTGCTACACTTTGCCTCTTCCCCCCGTCCCCCACCCACTCTCCCTAACATACACCAAAACCTGCACTGACCTGCTGCAAGTAGTTCATGCAATAATCCGCTGCCAGCCACCACTAGCAAGCCGCCTGTTGCAACATCCCCGCCCCCCCCCCACCCCCCCCCCTTTTCCCATGCTACCCACCCCATCATGCACCCACCTGCAAGTTGCCAACGCAGTAACCCGCAGTGGCGGCAACCACTAGCGAGCCGACACCTGTCGCATGGGTGTCGCGAATCCGACCCCCCGCCCCTGTCTCTGCGCCCGGGAAGGGCGCCACCTGAGGGTGCAGGGAGAGGCACACAAGGACACACAGCACGGGTGTTCCTAGGTGAAGCGTAAGAGCGGGAGAGGGTTGCGGATCCGAAGCGGTTTTTGAGCCACCTCAAAAACCGCTACACTCAATTTTTTAGGCGCCTCAAAAACCGCTACACTCAGCGCATGTAACGAACATAGCAACTCACAGCGCAGGGGAAGTTGTGGGTTTCAGCAGTGAACAGAATGTCGTAGTCCCGCTCCTGCGGCTCTAGCTTCGATGGCTGCCCGGGATTCTCGGGCAGAACCGCGGAAATGACGCGGCCACGAATGGCACTGGAGAAGGCAGAGATTGGGGAAAGAAGAACAATGCTTGGACTTTGAACCTGGACCCCTGGGATATTTTAATCGACTTAGAAGTCATCTCGTTTAAACCCTGAACCCGGACCCCTGGCTTTTTACCGCTGAGAGGAAACAAACACAACCACGAGGGCCGGAACAGGGGGCACAGGTTGACCTGTGCAAACCCTCACCTCGAGTTGTCCTTAAAGCCAATGACCGAGTTGTTGGGGTTGGCTTTAAGCGTGTCCTTCACCAGATCCATGAGCGTGTGATCCACCTTCTGCCCATCCACCGTCAGGTCGCCCTGGGGGAGGGGAGGGAGGGGAGAGCATGCGCGAGCGGGGGGGATGGGCAGTGAGGACGGGATGTGGAACATATGGGACCCGATCCATGAGCGTGTGATCCACCTTCTGCCCGTCCCCCGTCAAATCGGGAGGAGGGGAGAACACGCGTTGCAGTACGTCGAAGGGAGCGAGCTAAGAGATTGTAACTAAGGCATACAAAAACCGAAGTAACGAGGATATGTACGCAGTGGACCTTGAAGAGCCAGTGACGGCTGTGCTCGGACTTAGACAGCGTGATGTCAAACGAGAATAAGACACTGGTGGTGGGGTCCTACAAAAAGACTGCCTAAAACGAGGATATACACTGCACCTTGAAGAACCAGTGGCGGCTGTGCTCGGAGTTAGACTGCGCAATATCAAAGAGCTTCTTCACGTTGGTTCCTACAATGAGACTGCCTAAAACGAGGATATACGCTGTACCTTGAAGAACCAGTGGCGGCTGTGCTCCGAATTAGACTGCACGATATCAAAGATCTCCACAATGGTGGGTCCCACAACTAGGAGAGTGCTTATATCGAGAAGCTACTGTACCTTGAAGAACCAGTGGCGGCTGTGCTCGGAGTTTGACTGGGCGATATCAAAGAGCTCCACGTTGGTGGGGTCCCGGCCTATGTCCTCGCGAAACAATTGGGTATAGAACTGCCATACGAAGAGGTGGGGAACGGTGAAGAGGCGTGAGAATGGTGTCCTCATATACCACTCCACCTCCCAGTGTCCTCCCTCAATCCTCCATTTCCCATACCATCCGTCTCCTGCCCCCTCCACCCCTTTCCTTCCCCTCCTCCAGCAATAACGCCCAGGTCCCACTCGTTGACCGTCGCCTATCCTCCCTGCCTTCTCTCTTGTGTCCCTCCCTCCCCCCCACGTCCCTGGCACTCGCGCCCAGGTCCCACTCGTCAAAGGCCAGCCCCATCTCGCGGGTGACCCTCTCCTATCGTCACTACCATACTCTATCCTCTCCTCTCGTCACTACCATACTCTATCCTCTCCTATCGTCACTACCATACTCTATCCTCTCCTCTCGTCACTACCATACTCTATCCTCTCCTCTCGTCACTACCATACTCTATCCTCTCCTCTCGTCACTACCATACTCTATCCTCTCCTCCGTCCTCCCTTCTGCCTCTCCAGCCTCCTCTCTCCTCCCCCCTCCCCCCCCCAGCACTCACGTCCAGATCCCACTCGTCGAACGCCAGCCCCATCTCGCGGTTGACCCTTTCCAACGCCTTGCGCCCCTCCTGCTCTCGGAGCGAGTCAGTGTGGGGGGGGAGGAGTGGGGGTAAGGGAAGAGGAAAGAGGCGAACTGGGGGAGGCAAGGGGTGCTTGGGAGTGTCCCATCCCATGCTCTTGCATATGCTGAGCTGTGCTTCGTAGGATAAGGACATGACTCACCCTCATAATAGGCATCAATCAACACGTGACTCAACCACCCTCATAACGGGGATAAACGCGCAACTCACCTCCATAAACGCAACTCAACTTCATAACGGGGATGAGAATAACAGGAGCGGGGGCAGCATTAGTGGTAAAGGTCTCAAGGCGCATGGCATGCACACACTCCGTCATGAGATCGTGCACCAGCGCTGCTAGTGCGGGTCGCCTTATAATGGGGATAAACACGCAACTCACCTTCATAACGGGGATGCGCACAACAGGAGCGGGAGCAGTATCCGTGGTGAACGTCTCAAGCCGTGTGGCATACACACACTCCGTCATGCGATCGTGCACCAGCGCCGCAAATGCAGCCCTCTGCTCGTCCGTGAATGCAGCCTCTGCCTCAACGCCTGGCGCCAGCTCAAGAGCATAACGGCGAGACCGCTCAATGCGCGTCACCTGGCGGAACGACGAGGGGGGGGGGGGGGGGGGGGGGGGGGGGTGGAAAGTGGGAGAATCATGCAATCGTGCACCAGCGCCGCAAACGCTGCCCTCTGCTCCTCTATGAACGCCGTTGCCGCCTCCACGCCAGGAGCCAGCTTAAGAGCACAACAGCGAGACCGCTCAATGCGATGCGAGTGACCTGAAGGGGGTGGGGGTGGGGAGGAAGGGGGGCAATTGGCAGAGGGGATGTGTTTCCCGTGGCCGATGATAGGAACGGGTCGTGTGGCCTTGACTCCACGCTGCCCCCGCTGCCCCCGCTGCCCACGCTGCCCCTAGGGCGGCGGGGGGGGGCACGCGGAGCAGCACGCCCTCTGCTCCCGCCTTTCCACCTGCCCCTGAGCGCAAACCAGCGCAAACCAGCAAGAGCAAGGCCCAAACGGCCCCTTTCTGGCCCACCCGCTCTCGACTGCACTTTCTGTTTCCGCCCCACCTGCTCGAAACTGGAGCAAAGCTGGCAAGTCCCCACTGCCGCCCTACCCTCTCAAGGTTGCACTTTCTGTCTGATGCCGCCCCCACTCTCCCTGCCGCCCTACCTGCTCAGGGCCCCAGTCTCTTTGCCGCCCTACCTGCTCGAGGTTGCAGGAGCGGCAGATGGAGACAGCATTGGTGGACCAGGCAGTGGTAAACGACAAACGAGGCCCCACCTCCACCACTACCACCTCCCCCTCCTCCTCTCCCTCTCCCTCCTCCCCTCCCTCAGCTGCTGCAGCGCTAGCGTTAAACACCGACTCCCTGGTGAGCTTTTCGGGCTCGTACGTTTCAGATAGCACCCACACCAGAGCAGCCTCGTGAGCGGCATCCAGCGCTGACGTCAGCTCCACGTTGAAGCACTGCTCCGTGCGGATGCTGATGACGTCAGCGCACACCTTCTCCTGCACCTGAACGGGAAAGAGGGGGAGAGGAGCGGCGGGAGGGGGAGGGGGGGGGGGAAGGGGAGGGAGGGGGAGAGGGGGGAGGGGGGAACAGGGGAAGCGAGGGAAGGGGGCAGGAGCAGAGGTAAAAAGGGCAGGCGAGGAGCCGAGATAGGGGTGTGCACACACGTGCACGCGGTTCAAAACCCTTCTGGGTTTCAGGGGTTTTATGGTGTAAAAGGGCTCCGACGTTTTCCCCTTAGGCGTTGGAGAAGAAAGAAAAAAGATCGGAATTCTACCTTTAGGGACTAAAAGAGTACCCATAAGAAAGTAGGGGGTCTAGAATCCGTGTTACCTTGTGGAGCAGTGACTCTTCCGCAGCATCAGAGAGGAGAGGGTGACGGTAAAAGTGTGTGACTATACGCGCGTGAGCCGAGGCAGACGGCGTTGACTCGCTGCTGTCAGCAACCACCGCATCACCCTGCTCGCACGGGAATAGATTTGATCATGGGATCGTGTACAGTGATCTACAGTTACGAAACACACATTACGCAAGTACGAAATCAAGAAAGAGCGCATCGCTGCATCTGCTCGGCGTACCGCCAAACACGCCTGAGGTCGCGCTTTACCCTCTCCCACTGTCCTCCCCCCTCCTCCTTTCCCGCTATCCGTCTCTCCTCGCACCTCCCCTTCCCATCCGCCTATGCGCTCACAAACACGGCAATATTCCCAACCTTCTAAAGCCGTGCTGCATTACGTTGCTGGTACCAAGTACTCCTACCAAGCCTTAAAAAATACGGCCTTCTCGCATCTCAGATAACCTACCCCTCCGCCCATCGTAACGAGGTGACTTTTGAGTCGACTCAAAAGTCACCCCGCCCATCTCACCCATCCTGCCTACTAAGTCCCCAACACTCACCGAAACTGCCTTCGGCGTCTGACCAGCGGTCGCCACCACAACCGGCCGCGCTACGCCACGCGGCAGCTCCACCGGAGCCGGGCAGGCTAAAAGATTCCCGGGAGCCAGATTCCGGGCAGCGGAAATGTTTCGAGATCCGAGCCATTTGCTACCGAGCCGTGCAGCGCCAACCCCGCCGCTGGCGGGGGCGACAGCCACGGACCGCAAAAGCGTGCGAAGATGGCGGGAGTGGGTGCGCGGGAGGCAGGGGGAAACGCCCAGCGGAAGCGCGCGCGGCTGCAGCAGACACGCGGAAAGAAGCGCCTCCATGGCCGCGGAGAGCCGCTCCTGGGTAGAGTCGGAGTCAAACCCCCGCGATCGCGCTGAGATACGGGGAGATGAGGGCACGGGCAAAGGATCGCGGTGGTAAGGGTGCTGCTGTTTAGAGATGTGGATTCGGAGACGGAAACGGAGAAGTAAGGAGCAGAAAGGACGGGGAAAGCGGAGGACAGCAGGATAAGGTACCAGCGGGAGAGATCAAAGAGCTAGGGGTAAGTGGATCGGAGACAGAGGATCGACGCACGGGCTGCGGAAGCCAACGGGAGCAGAGCCTAATGCTCGTCAGGCAGACGGGCCGGAAGGTGTTGTGTGACATTGTAACGAGGTGACTTTTGAGTCGACTCAAAAGGCAGACGGGCCGGAAGGCTAAGTCTGAAAAGGGGGAAACCACCTGCGAATCGTCGAACACGAGAGGGCCAGAACTCCTTGGTTCACGCGTTTCAACCCTCGTGTCGCCTCGCCGCAGAACAGCTCCGGGCAACAACAGAAAGGCGACACCGAACCACTTCCGGGACTCGTGATCCGCCTTGAAAGGTTGAACGAAGCTCTCTAAGCACTAGAGAGCTCAGAAGACAGATGCCGAAGACGAAAGCTCTCAGCGTGAAATAAAACCCAGAACTCCCGTTGCGGGAAAGCGGAACGTGAGCGGGAGTTAAGCTGGGGTGAGGCTGGAATTCGGAGTTGCTGTAACGAAATGACAATATCGAAGTTCGCCGCCAGTAGCATCACAGCTGTCCGCCAGCCCCCGCTGGTTTGGCGGGAAGTGGGAGAGGGGGCAGACTCCGCGAATATCCGCCGATTTTTGTGCGCTTTTCCCAAGGTGTCAACGTTCGATTGGTCGAGATTCCACAAAGAAATCTCGAATCGAAATATAAACTTGTTCATACCATGTCGCGTACAATTGATACCAGATTATTAACAACTGAAAGCCTAAGACCTATTATAGTGTGATAAAGGACATTCGTGTATAAGAATAACACAATTCAAAGCCAACATGTACCTCATCTTCCATGGGGTAAAAAATGGCCATAACACTCCACATTCACCCTTCCTCTCCAAACTCTGCCGTGAATTTCTCTTGAATCTTTAGGTCGTCTTTGCTTACAGTTGGCTTCTGTCTCGACAACACCTTGTCAAAATCTGACTTCATAATGGGAGGAGGGACGATCTGCAACAAACAAAAGCAGCAGTCAACGCAGCCCAAGAGGAAACAGGCACAAACCACGCAGCACATTGAGGAAACGAAATGAGGCTCAAGATGTGGTGCATGAGCAGGCTGCTTTTCTTTGTCTCAATCCCTGAAACGAAACCCATGGTGCCTAGCTCTGATCCCCCATCACCCATCACCCCAATCCCCTTCCTTCCCGCCTCACCTCACCCTCTAGGTGTTCCCTTCCCCGCCCCCACCGTTTTCTCCCAGCCGCCCCACTGCAAGCTCCTCCATCGTGGTCTGAATGGCGCCTGGTTCCCATCACCTGGTATCCCCTCCTTCCCGAACCTAGACCATCCTCTCACCGTGCACCCTTCGTCTCACTCACCCTAGTCCCCTCGGTTTCTCACCTTCTCTCCCAGCCCCTGCGCTGCCAGCTCCTCCATCGTGGTCTGAATAGCGCCTGCCTCCCTGGGGCCACACGGCATGTAGCACATGTCCCCGTCCTTGGACACCTGGCGAGGCGGGAGGGAGAGAGAAGAGAGGAGAGGGAGGCACACAGGGAGAGGAGAAAGAGAGAGGGAGAGGTGAAAACCATGGTGCTTCCCGGGGCCACACCACACGTAGCACATGTCCCCGTTCGTGACCACCTGGCACGAGGTAAAATGCATGGTGGTCTGAATGGTACCAGGCTCTCAAGGGCCGCATGGCATGTGCATAGGATGCCATGCATTATGTGCCTCGCACCTTCTTAAAGTGCATGGCATCCTGTGTCTTCCGGACCGGCTCAAAAAGTACATCCTTCACCTGGCGAGACACACAAGGCAAAGGGAAGTAACACCAGGAGGTGAAAGCACATAAGGAGAAGAGAAATGATCGATCAGCAGAAGGTTTCCAGTCAATAGGACGAACACAGCAGAGGACAACAAAACAGATGTGCAAGCTGGCAATGTGAGGCTGAACAGCAGGAGCTGGCATGTGACGCAGCACCAACGGCACCACCATTAAGTAACCTAACCCAGCACTCAGATGGTGGGAAGAGCTTACACAGACAGCAATATCGGACCCCGAGAATCCATCTGTCTTCTGCGCCAGCTCCTCGAAATCCCTCTCAGACAAACTGTAAGGCGTGTCTCCCAGATGCACCTATGTGGGACAAGGAGAAGATGGAAGGGAGGAAGCGACTTGTGAGTCTGCTGCTCACAGCCGCTTTCGAAAGCATGTCACATCCCTTCATTCCACCCTCCTGCGTTTCCCCTTAGCTTCTCGCACCAAGGCCCTGCTCTTCTTGTGCCATAACCCTATATCATGTGGCGTGCTTCGAATCCAGCTATTGCAGACAATCATGCCTACCTCTCTCCCCTGGAACATGTGCTGCCTGGCCTTCACATCTGGTAGTGGGATGTAGATGCGCTGGTCGAATTCCTTCCCACCCTCCTGCCTTTCTCACACCAAGGCCCTGCACTTCCACCTCTCACCAAGAGCATATGCTGCGGTCTGAGCTTCCTCCAACACCATATCTAACCTCTCACCTTGAACATGTGCTGCCGCGCCTTCACATCTGGTAGTGGGATGTAGATGCGCTTGTCAAAGCGCCGGCGCACAGCCTGGCAGGCAAACAGCGGGGGTGGCAGCATTACCATTACTACTCTCCACGTAAAAAGTATGCAAAGGCTGGGACGAGGCCCAGTAAAAGGATTGTTGTTGGCAGTTGCAAGCTTAGCACGCAGACGTATGGCAAAAAAGGGTGTGGAGAATGGAGTGCAGTCAGCAGTGGCGAAGAGAAGCAGGCAAGCCCGCGTTGCGCACCTGGTCGAGCGAGTAAGGCGTGTTGGTGGCAGCAAGAACCAGTACTTTGTTGTCCTCGTTGCCCACGCCCTGGTATGAGGAGCGGGGCAGACGGGAAGGGAGGGACACGGAAATGGGAGCAGAAGAGAAGACGGACAGAATTGGCGGGAAGAAAGGCACACCCCCAGGCAGAAAAATTAGCCCTACTTGGAACTTTAAGACTCGCTCTCGCAATTCTCTAAGCTGTTCTGATGATCCCCACCACCCCTCCCCCCCCTCCTCCCTCCCTCCCTCCTCCCCAACCAGCCAACCACTTCAAAACCTGCATCTGGACCAGCGAGTCGATCCCGTCGATGTAGATTATGGACAGAGCGCTCTCTCCCCATACCTGGTTACCAACACCTCAAAGTCTACATTACCAGGGTCAACCACCTCAGAGACTCCCTGACCTGCTTCAGAACCAAAAACCCCGTCTTGATGCGTCTCAACGCCTCGCTCTCGTTGCCCTCGCCCCTCTAATCGCACAGCGAGTCAATCTCATGTATTAAGATGATGGACGGCGTGCCCTACTTGACTGTCAACCAAAACACCAGCCTCATTGCTTACCTGCATCTGAACCAGGAACTCCGTCTTGATACGCCGTGATGCTTCACTTTCGTTGCCCTCACCCCTCTGCCCGCACAGCGAGTCGATCTCGTCGATGAAGATGATGGACGGCGCGCTCTCCCGTGCCATCTGAAAGAGGTTCGCCACCAGCTTCTCGCTCTCGCCCATCCACTTGGACACCAGGTCGGACGACGAAATGCTGCTCAAAAGGGAAAAATGGCAGGGGGGGAGAAGAGAAGGGCATGGGGGAAAGGGGGGAGCGGGAAAGAGGGGGAGAGGCTGGGGGAGGAGAATCGGGCATCAGGGAGGTGGGGGGGGTGGGAGGAATGCCATGGAGGAAGGTGGATGATGGACGGCGCGCTCTCCCGCGCCATCTGAAAGAGGTTCGCCACCAGCTTCTCGCTCTCGCCCATCCACTTGGACACCAGGTCCGAGGACGAAATGATGCTGCAGATGAGGAGGGAGAGTGGGAAAGGGGGAAAGTTGTGAGGAGAGACGTTGAGGATGTGGTTAGCGATGCTTCAAGCCACCAGCTTCTCGCTCTCGCCATCCACTAGGAATTCAGATTCGAAGAAGAGATGCTGGGACGAGAGGGGGGAGCGGGAAGGGGGGTTGGAGGGGAGTGTCAGGGGTGAGGGAATGGAGGATGGAGACATGGGTGCACTGGGATAGGGAGGGTAAGGATCAACCTTGAATCGAAGCGAAGCACGAGAGGACTATTCAATCAGCCCCCGGAACCAACCTGAAGAAGGTGGGTTCCGCCTCTGTGGCGACGGCCTTGGCGAGGTAAGACTTGCCCATGCCGGGAGGGCTTTTGAAGCGACTTACAGTGGCTTTTGAGGCGACTTGGAATGACTTTTAGGGAACTCAAGACCCACCTGAAGAAGGTGGAATCCGCCTCCGTGGCGACGGCCTTGGCGAGGTACGACTTGCCCGTGCCAGGAGGCCCGTACAGCAGGAACGCTCTCCATGGCCGCCTCTTGCCTGGCGTACAGAAACACGGAGATGAGCACGGAAATAAGTGATTCAAGTGGAGTAAGGAGCCGGGAGCCCTAATGTCTGGAGGGCCGTACAGCAGGAACGCCCTCCATGGCTGCCTCTTGCCTTGGATAGAGACACTGATACGCATGGTGTCAAGGATAAGCATGGTTATAGGTCAAGTGTTTCATCAGCAATAAGGAACCCTCATGTCTGAAGTGCCGTATGGGAGAAACGCTCTCCAGGAGCACTCTCTATGCCTGGCATGCACACATGGAGAACAATAAAAATAGGCTCGGTGATTTTTCAGATAAGGGAATCCTACTGCGGGAACTTGACCGGCAGGATGACCGCTTCCTGCAACGGTTTTGATTCGACTCAAACGTCACATATTGCCAATCACTCACCTGTGAAATACTTCGGGAATTTGAGAATTTTCAGACACCAGACTAGGGAACCCCAATGCCTGTTTCTCGCCTGTGAAGAACTGCGGGAATTTGACCGGCAGGATGACCGCTTCCTGCAGCGTCTGCGTCGCGCCTTCCAGCCCTGATGACTTTTGAGTCGACTCAATAATGATTCTCTAACACCAGATTCAGAACCCCTGTTGGCACTCACTCACCTGTGAAGAACTGGGGGAACTTGACCGGCAGAATGACCGCCTCCTGCAGAGCCTGCTTCGCGCCTTCCAGCCCTGCCACGTCAGACCACTTGATGTTTGGCTTCTCTCGCACAATGGCCGAATTCAATCCCGATCGAAGCTTCGCGGCGTCATCGTCATCCCCCCCACCGGCTCCGCCCTTCTTCGCCTTCGGCTTGATCGCAGACGCCGCGTCTCCCGGCGCTCCGTTCTGCGGTGCTCCTTCCAATACCTCCTTAATCTGCTCGGCTCGATCTAGGTATTCGACAAACTTGGCCTGAATGGCGTCTTTAATCTTCGGGTTCTTCTCGTACTTCAGGTGGGTCTTAAAATACTCGAGCGCGTTCATGTAGAGAGGCAAGGCCTTGGCATAGTTGCCAGCTGTATCCTCCAATACAGCCTGCTTCGCATACTCGATCCCTTGCTCCTTAAAGTTACTGTACATGGCAACAGAGTCAGTAGAAACCGAGGCTCTACAGAGGATGCAGCAGGCTATTGCTGAGAAACTATCTCGCGGGACGCGAACGGATGAAGGTCGCAATAATCTTCAACTCAGACGCTACTGTCTGCGTAAAAAATCCATTACGCAAGATGCTCGAAGAGGAAAGCTCGCGAGAAAGACGGCCCTTTCCTCGCGAGACCTTCTAAAGACCAAGGAAAACAAGTAGCTGTTTCGGAATAGGTAACTACAGACTCTGAGCACACCAGTTCCCAACAGACATTGCCTTGACAAGCTGATGCAAGGAATCGGAAACAATGTATCCGGAGTTGGGATCAGTTGGGAAACAGTCCAGTATTGCTTGCTGGACTCTGTCTGACGGTCTCGAGGCTATCCTGGCTGTCTGTTGATTCTGAACCTGACTGTCAGACAAGGGTGCCTGGCGTCTGCGAATATCTGCGAACGAGGGTGGAACTACTGCCGGCTTCTCAGACCAATTCTCCCATCTGGTTACCGCACGGTGTTCGTACAAATGGTGACGGCATCTCCGCTGGCTTCGGCGAAAAAGGTGTTCGAGTGATGCCTGCAAGGCAACTTGGATTGGACCCTTCCACCAGGAAAACTTTCAAGTAGGGTACACTATTGCTTTGGTACTGGAGGACAACAGAAAAGCAATACCGTAAATCTTCTTCTAGAAGCTACCAAAACCCTCCCACGATTTCTGAAGTCAACCAAAATCGGCTAAGTGAAAGTGGTCACAGGGGATTCTGAACCAGAGGGAAGGCAGATGAGAAAAGCAGTGACAAGATAGACGAACAAAAACAAGGTTCTTGCTCCATTTATGTACATCGCAGGGCCATGTGCACAGCATGACCAGCAGCATCACCACCAAACCCACATGTTTCACCAGCCGTCTGCACTCTCAAAGCATTCTGTTGAAGAACCTGCTTTTCTCTTCACGTTTGCCGTGTGGACACTCCAGAGCTTTTAAACATAACGCCTCGCTGATTGGAAGCAGGGGAATGGTGCTTAGGCACCAACGTTAAACCCAGGCCAGGTACCTTGGACTTGGAGAGAGCTCAGATAGCAATACGTGTCCTTGAGAAGAACAGGTCTGTGCCCCAAACTGCCATGAGGACATTGGCAGCTTGCCGGCAATTCCGTGTGATTGAAAAGATCCAGCCAGTGAAATGCTCTGAGACTCTGACCAGGCTCAGAGCGCCTTGTATGAACGCTGGGAGCTCAAGAGTGGACATGACCTGAGTCAACTGCATATGCCGATTGGGGACGACTAGGGTGGAGAGTGACAAGGCAGGACGGCTCCTGGGCGAATCGACCTCTGCAATCATCACGTCACGGACATCAGGGGAAAGGGAGAAAGCGCATGTCATGAGGAATACTCACCCTGTCACATACAGAATGACGAAAATGGAAGCTGAAGAAAGAAGACACGAAAACATGAATCCTAAAAAAGGTGCATAATTGTCACTTCACGAGAATGCATTATTGTCACTCCACGAGTGCATACCTAGGTGTTGGAATCCCCTAGAGATTTCCGGCTCCTCAATTTCGCACTCTGAGACCCAGCGAGGTGGTGAGGCCGAGCGGTCATTGGAGGGACGTTCTGGGGGGAAGGACACCTCGAGCTCATCGTCGTCTTCCCGCATCATGATTGCACCGCGACGTCGATTCAATTTTACCGCTCCTCGTTTTGAGCAAGCTAAGAGGTCAATTGCTGAAACCCCAAGGACTTCCGCTGACAGGTAAGGGAGGGACGTGAGCAGCAACACCTGCTGAGGTTGGAGAGCACAACCACCCCGTCGCCTTAGGGCCCCCTGTGTTACGAAAAGCATTCAACCGTGATAGTAGTTCTATATGCTTGAACCGCTATCCTACGCGCGCGGCTTCAACGACATCAGCGATCGGAGCAACTAGTAGCCTGCGGTGGCTGAGCCAACAAAGCCCTGTTTTTCATGAACCACAAAAAAAAAGAAAAATAAAAAAAAAGGAGCGACGTTCCGCTTTTCTACAAGAAACGTTATCGGCAGCGCTGAGGGCCTAACCACTAACTACTGAGAACTGCTCTAAAAACTACGCCCCAGCATAACTCGCCGGTCATTGCTCCAGCCGGGGCTTTCACCTAATCTCGACCACACTTGCCAGGAGGCTTGGGCAGTGGGCTTGACACAGCATTGCGATTCAATCATGCGTACGTACAGTTGGCAGGCCCCACAGCACGAAGCTTGGCGGATCATCCTCAGGTTGAAGTTGACCTAGCTTCTTTGATTGGCCAGGCGGCTCATTGAACCGGAACAGTTCCATCTACGTCACGTTGGGCACTTGTCGCTGTGGTGGTCGCAGCGCCATGTGCTGGGGGGAGCTGCCGCCCACGGCCCAGAGGTCTCGCAACCAGGGGTTGACTGCTGTTACGTGATTATACGCTTCTCCAATACGTGACATAAACAGCTTTGCGACAGACGACGGGCAAGGCGAAGCTGTTGTAGCTCGCTTTTGTAAGCTATATAGAACATGGAAGTAGGACATCAAATCAAATACTTTTACTACAAATATGTGGAATTGGACAATTCATGTCATTCTAGTGTGGGTGCATAAGGATGTAGGGGTGTAAAACGTACTGTATGGATTAGGGGCTTGATTCAGGATGGCTCAACACATAGAGAAGTGAGAAGGCTACAAGATCAACATTACCAACAGAAGGTGTGATACGAATGCTAGAATGCATAGAAGGCAACGGTACTGGTATGAAGGGACATGTCACAAAATGGAGTTGAACTCAAGAGCATCCAACACTAACACGAGGCAAAAATGACTTATTAGATCACATACTCATAACAAATATGTTAGAAGGGTATTGAAGATGACCCCATAGCACTTTAAAGCAAGTGATGAAAATAGTGAAGGCGGGTCCAACTTGAAAGGGCCCACACGTCCGTTTTTGCGACCAAGGGACAAAACTGCGACGGGGCAGAGGGTACGCTGTCGAGAAATGCGAGCAGGGGAAACTGGGCGAGAAGATGCAGTTTGGCTGATTGGTTGGCGGGAAACACATGACATACGGTGGGGAAAAAGGCTCGGGCAAAATCGCAAGGAGCGCGCCACCTGTCGCCCAGCCCTTACTGCCTGTAAGCTGCACCAAGTGGGCCCAACTTGAATTTCAAGTGGGCTCAACTTCAATTTCAAGTTGAACCCGGGTTAACTACTCGAGGAAAACCGAGGCTGGGCCCCGATTGGTCGAAATGCTAACTGCGCAAATCAGTGGTCGTAAAATCTGTCGCCGGTGAAATGTCACAAGCGCAATTCAATTTCGTGGCCTATGGCTTGGTAAAGAACGCGGGCTGTTGCCCGCCCCTCCAAAAACATATTCACTGTTGGGCCGTTTCTAGTTGGGCCCAACTAGAAAGGAGGGTCACTATTATAGCCTCTCGCTTTAAAACTACTCATTGAACTCGAGCCAGTCTCCCAGACAAGCATATGCCTCTCTTGTGCCATCGTGCACAAGAAGCTTCTACCAATGCCCAGTGCATCGGCAACAGCAGCTGCCTCTCCCTCTCCGTCAGGTCCCATCAACCACCCACCACCAACAGTGACAGGAACAAACATTGTTGAATCTACGTCGATCTTGAACAGCCCTGTTCGTCCCCAGCCCATTACCCTCATAACGTTCTCTTCATTTATCAGCACACCTGCCTTCCCGTTTGCAGCCGCTCGCATGGTGCTGCCTTTGCATCCATGTTTGCATGCACCATACCATCTCCGAAGGAAGTGTCGCCATCATCGTCACACTCATCCCCAAAATCACTCCCAGTATCGCCTCCTACTCCTCTGCCTCCTCATCTTCCTCCTCCCCGGCCTCCTCTTCCTCATCATCCAACTCCCCCACTACCCCTACCTCATCCTCTACCCATTGTAGAGTGCACGGGTCAAATGATGCCATTTCGCGATCCCATCTGTACTGTAACCTCGCCTCTCCTCTTCGCTTTCTCTCTCCCCCTCGACGAACCAGGTGACCAATTAGGCTCCTAACACTGCATCTCCTGTCTTCACCCATCATTAGCAAGAGATAGTCCATTGCACCAAACAGGTGCCAGAGACCACACTCATGGGCGACAAGAACAACACCTCTAGGGTGGGGAGGAGAGGGGGTGAAAAAATTGGGCTGAAGAGCCCCAATGGAAGAAGTTTTGCCCATGTGTGCACTGTCGCACACCATCCCCGTCCTCCGGCGTCTCTCCTCTCGGGCCTCTATCCCGGCTCCTTAACTGGTTTCCCTTGTCTTCGCTTGTACGTGATGACCTCCGACTTTCCTTGCTCTAATGAAAGCTCCGAGATTGGACAGCCAAGCTACCCAATTCCCGCCACCCTCTGTCTGGCCTCTCCTCAGGGATCTAGCATTTGCTCAGGAAAGAATCCACTAGGAAACAAGCATACAGGCTTTCCCACTAAGATGAGAGAACAAACAGAGTAGCTACAGAGGTGTGAATGCTACGGCTTTGTGCTATTCTTCCTAGCGGATGCTCTCCTGTGCCTGACCCTTCCCTCCCAGCTGAATCCGCCGCGCGCCATTGCGGGGTTTTCTCCTCCGGTGGCAGCACCGTGATTCCTGCCAACCCTCCCTTCCATGCGTGCTGCATGCCCCTCTCCAGCCTAGCCATCCCTTCTGCTGAAGTGTCCGAGCCGATCCGCCAGCTGCTCAACTGACCTCACCCTAACCTTATTACTTCCCTTATAACCTCTCGCGCTGTCCCTTGAAACTTTGTAACCCAATTATAGAGGTTCACGCGACAGCACTGATGATCACATACAGTGGCGGAAACAGTTGTCCACATGTTTTGCATATTTTCACATTTTGACGAGCTGTACGCTATAAGCATTAAGCCTTAATCCATGGTGGCCATACACGTAGAGAGGAGCAGTTAGAGCACTCACTCAAATCTCCTAAAACCAGAGTAGTATATTTCATGGTCCTTCAAGATGACAACATTTAATAAGAGCACATCCGGACAATTTGTACCGAGGACAAGCAGCAAACTAGTTACTAGCAAAACTAGTACCTAGCCAAACCACACTTGGCCTTGATCACCACCTACACCCTCCTAGGCATGTTATCTACGAGGTTAGTGCAAACCTTTACAGGGATCTTCTCGCACTCTTCCTGGACCCACGCTTTTGCATAACGGGGTGAGCACTAGGAAAATCGCTAAGTATTTGAACGTATGCAAGAGTACTGTGCACGATTTCATGTTGAATGTTATCTCTAAGACTAGCCATGCTGAGGTGTGGCCAAAGATGCCATTAGTCGATTGGTCTCGTCTTATCATGGATCGTCTTCATCGCACCGTTGTAGGTAAAAATTACGAGCAGAGTGGCGAAAAATTGCGTATCTGCCACGAAACTTAGGGTAACATAGCACGGTTGACAGTGCATCCTTGCACTATTAGAATCACGCTAGGATCCGTAGGTCTCTGAGCGGTGCAGCAGTCGAAGTAGTCGTGACTGGTGGGGAAAAATATCCGGGTTCAGGTCTGGTGAGGTGACAAGTAGAAAGTGACATTGTTTGTAAAGAATTAGAGGTTGGTGGAAGAGAAGCAGACGAGTGAGAGGACCTCTCTACATCCAGCACAACACAGAGACTAACTTGGGGAGAAGGCATAGAGTGAAAGAACACGGCCTGAAGACGTGCGCGAAGAGTCCAGGGAGGCAGAGGAGTGGTGAGAGGAGGAAGCAGCAGTGGAAGGGGGAGCGTCCAATTTGTTCTCTTAGCTTGAATGAGTTTCTTGTAAGAGGGGCTTCCCCCTCCACCGTTCTTCAAACTGATAAGTATCAAGTTAAACTGTAGCTGGTTCCCTTGAGCAGCCTGAGAAAGCAACGCACTAACCTAACCTGAAAGCATGAATGATTCCTCGCCTGTGCACAAACCAGGCCCAACTAAACTACTTGCGTATCTGTACACATGCCCGTTGTCTAAAGCTGCCTTCCAGCGGCGACTGACGGACTTCAACACGCCATGGCAGCCACGTGGTAGCATCGCCAAGCACATCGACGCGGCATTGTCCAGAATCCCCAGAATTAGACATTCTGCATTCAGATGACACAAAGCGTCATCCGCAGAGTCTCCTCCGAGCGGATTGAGGTGAGTCCGCTTTTTCCGATGCCTTCTTCCCGGCGTTCGGATTCATCACGTCCGCCGTACAGTCTGCTCCGCTTTTTGAGTTACCGAGGTGACTTGTAAGCCAACTCAGAACTTACGTTCGCACAGTCTGTTCCGCTCCCGTCTTTAAAATACTATTCCTGAAGCGTCTTCCGAGGTCCGCTGCATTGACGTCAACAGCTTTTCGAAAACATCCGCACTGCAATAACAATCATGATGCAATGATAAGGGTTATGCCTTCATGCTTCGATGATAAATACAGTACACTGGTTACTTCAAATAGGACAATGAAACGGTGTCACCGTACCTCTTTTGCCTCAAGAGAACTCGAAGAAAACTGATCACGCCATCGCTATAGCATTCCGAGAATGTATAGAGCGCGAGTTGCGAGGCATGGGTCTCGTGAGGGCCTAACTGTTGAGGAGAAATTCCAGAGCCCTCTCTTAAATTGAAAGCGAGAAACGTACGCGCGGGAAGGCCCTGAGGGAGGGAAGTACACTTTTCTGGATGTACTAAAGGCGTGTATCCTAGGGTTGCTGTAAGGAATTACGATTCCTTACTGGGGCTCGCCACAGCGAGTACACGCGAACCTCTCGGTTCCGCAGGCTCGGCCCTTGGTTCTCGCGCCAAACCAGCCCCCGTCGACCTTTTCGGCCCCAACCTGATCCCGAGTCGCCCCAAACCCATTTTGACCCTGTCACCCTCGGGACTATCGAGCCCTTGACTAGTCCAACCCTCGACATTCAACCTGGTCAACTCGCCCTATATATTGCCTAGGCCTCATTATTCTAGACAATTCTGTAATCACGTTCCCCTATAGTATTCTGCGCTATACTCTGGGTTATAATTCTTAACACTTGCGCATCTGTGAGTTGCGCTGCCAGTTGCGCAACCCACAAACCGTGACCCCGCAACGCAACTGGAACATGGGATTGCGCAACCTATCGGGAAACCCCAGCACACGTGGAACA